GGACTCTGACTCCCTGCACTCACTTTGGTTGGTTAGACAGTAGCCTTTGAATCATTCTCCATCTCAGCGGCCGTTCAAAAGTCCAGCCCTCCCCATGGTGAGAAGCCCAGAACCAGTCACAGAATGTCTGCTTAAGCTCTGCATCTGTGCCTTCCTGTGCCTTTCCAGAGGCAGGCTCCCCAGCCTTCTCCAAGTTGGCGGGCAGGCACAGACTGAGGATGGGAGCTCCCATAGCCGAGTTCCCGTTACACTGGTACTTAGTAGGTGTTTAATAAATGTTCATGGATTGATTGTACGCACCTACTGAGGTTCAGATTGGCTCCCCCGTTAGACGGTGAGCTCCCGGCCATCAGGGACCACGTTTTTGCCTTTCTTTGTATCCCCATGGCTTAGCACAGTACCCGAAACAATAGGTGCTTAATAAATGCTCATTGGCCAGACTGACGCTTTTCTTTCCACCGCAGGCTGTGAGGTGAGCAGGCAGATGGATATAATTTTAGGGCTTCCCAGCCGCCACAAGTGAAAACTAGAGACGTGAGTCCAGAGACTCCTTCTTGTCGGATCAAACGGAGCAACTCGAAGGGCTTGTGAAATGCCAGCTAATGTGCGTCAGTGCCAGAGGCACTGCCAGCTTCCCTCACCTGCTGTGCCTCAGGCACACCCACTCATTACCAGGAAAATGACTTCAGCTTAATTAGTGCTGATGCCACTTGGATCTCCCCTCGGCCAGCGTCACCAAGCCCTGGCTTATAGCAGGGCACCAGGGCAGCCAAAAAGCAAAGAAACTCACCTCGACTTCAAACTCAAGATGGCCTGGGAGACCAAATGTTTTCACTTTACTGTATTTTCCAATTAATAAGTATTTGTTTTCTCTCCCTCTCATTCCCCACCCCAACTTAAAGGAAAAAATAAAATTGGAACCAATCTGCGTGGCCTAGCAAAACAAGTTCCCTCGGCTGGCCGTGTTCCAGAATGTCTCATTCTGCACCGGAGTTCGTCCGTTGCCTGTCGGTCAGACGAGGGGAGCGGGCTTCATCATGGGCTCTCTAGAACTGTGGCTGATCGCTGCTTTGATCGGAGATCTTGCATCTTTCAAAGCTGGTTGTCTTACCGACGTTGACGTTAGTGTAGAAGTCGTGCTGGTTCTGCTGACTTCTGCCTGCATCGCTTCATATAAGCTTTCCAAAGTTTCTCTAACCCCATTTATCTTTTCTTATGGCACGTTCATATACACGGATTTATTCTGCTGTTCCCCAGCAGGTGGGCCCTCCCTCAATTTGTTGGGCTTTTTTTTTTTGTTATAGAAAAAAGCTTTTAAAAATATTTTTGTGTATACAGGAACTTTTCCTTCCTAATTTAATTTAAATTGATTTAATTAATCAATCCATTAATTAAATTGATTAAATTTAAATTTAATTGACTGATTTAAGTCAATTCAGTTCAGTGGCATCCAACTCTTTGTGACCCCATCTGGAGTTTCCTCAGCGAAGATACTGGAGGGATTTGCCATTTCCTTCTCCAGCCCATTTGACAGATAAAGAAACTGAGTTAAGTGTTGTGCCCAGGGTCACACAGCTACTAAGTCTGAACTCAGGGCTTCCTGACTCCAGGTCAATCCACTGGCAGCTAGGTGACGCCATAGTGGATAGAGCACAGGGCCTGGAGTCAGGAAGACTCATGTAAGTGAGTTCAAATCCAGCCTCAAACATTTCCTAGCGGTGTGACCCTGGGCAAGTCACTTAACTTTGCCTCAATTTCCTCATTTGTAAACTGAGCTGGAGAAGGAAATGGGGAAGTACTCCAGTATCTTTGCCGAGAAAACCCGAAGTGGGGTCATGAAGTGAAACAGCTGGACCACCACAAAACCCTCAAGGGCTGTCTGTATCAATATCAGTCATTATCATCATTTGCTGTGCTCACAACCTTCTTGGGCCAAGTTACAATTAAAGAAACAAAACAAACAGCACCTAAATTGGAAATTAATTACTCTGAGAATTCTCTCCGTGCACTGTTCTATAATTGGCTTGTCAGTCTTGCCAAGTGTGGGGATGTTTGCTTCAGGAAGGCACTGGGTAAACAAACCTCTTCTGAGTGCCCGGGGGTGGCCTGTGTTTACTAGGCCAGGGCAGAGGGCAGAGGGCAGACTCGCCCTGCCCAAGACAACATTCCTTTCCAGACTGGAAGAATTGGCAGCAGCCTCCCAGGGCAGCCCACGGCCCAGAGGGATCTGCATGGACCACAGTCTGGGGGTCATCCAGCCTGTTCTTTTCTTTCTTTTTTTTTTTTTTCAGGCAATTGCAGTTAAGTGACTTGCCCAGGGTCACACAGCTAGTAAGTGTCAAGTGTTTGGTCTGAGGCCACATTTAAACTCAGGTCCTCCTGACTTCAGGGCCGGTGCTCTATCCACTTCACCATCTAGCTGCCCCCATCCAGCCTGTTCTTGAAGTGCTCCAGTAAAAGGAAGCCCCCCCACCCCTTCCTCAGGCAGGCCCTCCACCCCCGACTTTGGGACTTTGTGGATTTGGCCACTTCCCCCCATTGCTCTTGGGGCAAGATGGAAGAGTGGAAGAGGTCTAAGCCTTCCTCCAAGAGACAGACCTTCAAACGTTTGAGCGCTTTCCTCCTGGCCTCCTTCTGGTTCCTTCCCCTCGTCCTCACCTGGCATTAGTTCCAGACCCTTTGCCATCTTGGTTATCTCTTTAGGATGCTTCTCAAACTGTGACGGGCCCCCCCAAGAATTGAACACAACCCTCCAGGTGAAGTTGGACCACAGGAGGGTCCAGTGGGACTACCAAGTCCTTATTTCCGGAAACCATACCTCTCTTTATTTTTCTGAAGAATGCCTTGGCTTTTTTTTTTTTTTGCTTCTGCTAAAGCATATTGAGCTCGAAGTCCACTAAGATCCCTAGATCGTTGGGGTCCGCTGTTGGCCAGCCATCTCGTACTTGGGAGGTGGGATTTTTGAACCTGAGCGTGAGATTTCCCATTGACCCCTATGGCACTTTATCTAATTAGATCCAGCCCAATGCTCTGGCCTTTCAGGATCTTTCTGGGTGCTGACTGCTCTCCATGGTCTTTCTTAGCTATCCCTCACAGATTGCCATCATCCCCCAATTTGATGTGCACTTCACCTATCCCTTTGTCCAAGTCACTGACAGATATGTTAAAACAGCCAAGGCCAAGCGCCTGTCTGGACAAGAAGGAGAGGCCTCGGCCTTAGGCCTGGCTGACTTGCTTCTCCTCTCCCCCTCCCCACCTCCCACCCTTTGGAGGTAGATATTCCAGCTTCCAAGGGTCTGAAGGCTATTGGACTTTCCATCTCCCCAATGGTGTCCTAGACAGCACCCCTAGATCAACTGGTGGCAGTGTCTGCATTAGGAGCCGAGGACAAACTGAACACAGATTCACCGTAATGGAGGGGAATGGAATGGGATGGGGCACCCCCAAATGGGAGAAGACGTCTTTCTGGTAGCCGGGAGGCTGCATTGCCACACGGGCTAAGCTCGACACCGATCTGCCCTGGACTTTTAGGTACTCGCTGTCTTAGGAGAATGAGACGGGGCTTGGGGGGATGCTTTGTACCAGTGGGGCTGACTGCACCCCTTTGGCAAATACTATCCTAAAAAACTACTTACAGCTGGCTAACTAAATTGATTCTCAGCTGATAACCCTGGCCGGTGGGGAAGCCCACTGGTCGGGGCTCAGCGCCACAGGCATCAGAGAATCACTCCTGACCACTTTGGGGCACTCCTCCAGCCCTGACCCTGATGGGGAGCCGTAGCCAAGTGCTGGGGACTCTGGGACTCGTCTGTGAGAGCAGGAGCTGGGTAAAGATGCCCTGGAGCTCACACAAGCTACCTTTACATAGGGAATTACCAGTTGGCCAACAGATTGGAATAGAAATACCGGTGACAGACGGGAGACCAGAAGCAACTCGCCTGAGGTCACCCAGCAAGTGGGTGGCAGAGAGACAGGACTTCCAGAGAATTCATTTTGAGCAGAAAGCAAACTTTGAGCTCAGCAGACTTATTTTACAGATGAGGAAACTGAGGCCCAGAGAAGTGACTGGCTCAAGGTCACACAGCCCGTCAGCAGTGCTGGACAGGTAAACACACCGAGTATGCCATTTCTTAGGTAGGAGAGGCACAGGAAAGCTTCTAGCCCCTCTCTCACCAGCAGGTTCGCTTTTGACAGGGTCAGACAGGACTGGAGTCATAATTAGAAGCTTACGTGGTTCTAGAATGGTCTTCTCAAAGGGAATTTGCTGATAATGGGAGCACCAATTCCTACGGCATTCCCTAACAACTCTTCTGGAAGAGGCCGGTGTGAGGGCGGGAGCAACTACTCCTCGACTCAATGGGGTCAATCGAGACCAGCAGAACTAGCGCTCTCCCCCAAATCCCCTCAACCCTCAGTGGGGGCCAGCTGAGGCACGCACAGCATTCAGCCTGCACATGCACCCCTGCGGGGGTCCCCATTCACTGACCAGTGCCACTTGCTTTATAGGGCAACAGACAAAGAAGGCACATTGCCAGCGAGAGCCTCACGATTTTACGTTACTTCACCCCTCTATCTACTGTGCAAGTGAGGTAGAAACTGTTTGAACCATGATCGTGAGAACTCACACCTAACACCTGGGAAGCAGAGACTGCCAGGGCTGCGGATCCTGGCAAGGAGACTCTGAACGCTCCCTGACTCACTGCTGAGCCAGGATTCTGTGAAGCAGACCCAGTGCAGCTACGGCCCCCCCCCCCAGGAGGAGCAGCTGGCATCAGTCAGGCTAGGCCTCTTCAGACCCCACTGACCTCCCTGGGGATCCCCGACGGCAGCGCCACCCGCTCGTTCTTCCACTTAGCAAAAGGGATAATTTAGCCGAATTCCATCTTGACTGGACTCCAGTAAGATGGACGGTGCCAAATAACCCTCCACCCCAAGCCCCACCGCACCCCTGGACCCAGGACGCACGGGAGGCGCCGACAGAACTGCGCCAGAGGCAGGTCTCACAGATAATTCACATTCTCTTTATTTGTCAGCTCTCGGAACAGATGGAGCAGAGGTGGAGTAATGAATGCCATGAACGTGTCCCATGCAGCGTCTGACTGGGCCTTCTCCCCGGGCTGCTGTCCGTGGCCGTGGATCGGGTTCCGTGGCCGGAGCTCACGCCTGGTGCCACCAGCTACTGCTCCTCATACTTGTGCTTAATGTGCTTCCACATCTTCTGCATCGAGAAGACAAAGGCCGCGTGCGTGAAATCCCATCCACAGTGTTTCCTGGTGTCGCTGCCCCCCGCCGCCCCCACCTTCCAAACGAGAAAGGACACAAGTGGGGACTACCGGGGACCCCGGACGTTACCTGCAGGAGTGGCCGCCAGGGCCTGCTCCATCTCCCACCCCAGGGAGTCTGTCAAACCCAGGGGCCCTCAATCCTTCCCTGAAGAGGAGCTCTTTCTGCTTCCCTGTCTGACCTCTGACATACCCCATCTCCCAGACACAGGAAGGGGTATCTGGGGGCAGTGGCCGTGGACTCCCTGCTGGGAGACCCTCCAGGCAGGCCTTCAGGAGCGTGGGGCCCATCTAGAGACTCGCTGACCCTCGAGGAGAGAGACGTGGGGCTCCAGGCCCCCCCTCAGGAGTTATGGGACCTCAGAGGGTCTCTTAGCTAACTTTCACCTTCAACCACCAGTGGCTTGGACAGCTGGAAGGACATCAGGCAGGGGCATATCCCCAAATACTCCTCCTGCAATCACCACCAACTTAGGGTGGCTGTGCTGCCTTTGGAGAGAAAGGGCGGTCACTGGTACTGAATGTTAGTGCTGTGGGCAGCCTCACACCCTGACCAGGAGGTGAGCTGAGGCTCTATGTCTGGGCAGGGCCCTCAGGCCCACCCTGCTGGTATTTTCAAGGATGACACTACCAAGGGGCACAGGGCCAAAGAGTCAAGCATGAGGTGACCAGCCTGGAGGCCAGAAATGCCGCCCGGGGGGGCAGGGCCTGGAAACACAGGGCACCCGGCCTTGGGGCGAGTCACAAAGGGCCTGACCCCTCCAGGAGACCTGTGTGACCTCAGGCTCATTGTTTCCTCCCCTCCCGTCCTGCCGATGCCACATCCCCGATCAAGAAACCTCAGCGGCTCCTACTGCCCTAACGCCACAAAGGCTCATACGCTTTAAAAACCTTGAGCCTAACTGCTCCGCCCATTCCATCTCCCACCTCTGAGCCTTTGCCTAGGCTGTTCCCCATGCTTGGGCTGCCCGTTCTCCCTCCTCACCCAGAGAACTTCCATTTTCTATGAGACTCAGCTCAAATATTTAGAGTCCGATGGCCTGGGTTCAAATCCCTCTGTGACCCTGGGCAAGTCACAACCTCTTTGGGCCTCAGTTTCTTCATCTGGGATGAAGACGTTGGCCGTCATGGGGTCACAGAGTGGCGAGAGGAAGGGGCCGAACCCCCTCATTTTAGGAAGGAAAAGGAGGCCCAGGAAATTTAAGTGGTTTTTCCAGGGTCACACAGCTAACACGGTCTAAGGCAGAATTCAAACTCAGGTTTTCCTAACTCTGCACCTGGCTCTCTATCATCACCTCTTCCTTTTACAGATGAGGAAACTGAGGCCGGGGGTTCGAATACTGTCAATGAGCATTTATGAAAGGACACATCCCTTGTCCTGCAAGAGGCAGTGGGAACACACCCACTGAGACGATGGGGAGGGGGGCTTCTGTCCAGGAGCCCCCCCTTCTCCCCCCCTTATTGGGGTGCCCCTTCCTCCCCCCAACTTACTTTGCACGTATATATTTTGCACGTGCTCATCATCTGTGGTCACGTGGTTTCCCCAAGTCATTCCCCCTCGCTCTGCCTCAGTTTCCCCTGCTGTAAAATTGGGAGTCTGGTCTGAATGGGCTTTCTGCTCTAGAGCCTACGTGTGACCGTGGTCGAGTGACATTGCCTGCGACGTGCCTCGGTTTCCCCCTCTGTAAAACAAAGGTGAGGGACTAGTCTTCCCAGCTCTAGGACCCTGCGACCTTGGGCAAAGGCACGCATCAGTCTGTGCCTCAGTTTCCTCCTCTGCAAAATCAAGGGCTGAACCAGACGGCCCGGGGGGGGGGGCGGGTCTCGGGCAGATGTCCTCCAAGCCCTCCTCCAGCCTCAGTTTCCCGCCCGGCCCCGGGGCCCAGTCGCGCCCTCCCGAGGCCCAAGGTCAGGGGGCTCCAGGCCCCACCCCCGCCCTCACCCCTTTGTTGATGCTTTCGTAGATGGCGTCGACGCCCTGGTCGAAGGCGCGCTCGAAGAACAGGACGCCCACGACGATGGTGAGCGCGAAGGCGGACGACCTGCGGAAGAAGGTCGAGTACACTTGCCCGAACATCGACGGGGACGCCATCTTCCGCCGTCCAGGCCTTGCCCCCGCCTGCGCTTGCGCCCGTGCCCGCGCCGGCGCCTCAGTCTTCTTGTCACGGGGGGGCGCGCTTCCTCGCGAGATGCTTCACGGGACTTGTAGTTCTCTCTCTGAAGTTCCGAGTCCTTTAAACTTTCTTCCTGGCACTCTTTTGGTCTCAATTTTCGTCAGAAAGTCCTTTACCATCATCTGTAGGTAGACCAATACAAACGTCGATTTGAACCTTTTTTATTTGCCTCTGCACAAGCTCGCCAAAATGAGCACTTGAACTACATCTCCCAGAGAGCAGCGCGCGCCTCTAGGACGTCATTTTCTTCCCCTCCCCCGCAGGTTCACGTTATTCCGTGACCCAAAGGCTTCTGGGAAAGGCGACTTAGCCTCAGGCTGAAGAAGAGGGACGGACTACGATTCCCAGAGAGCACTACGCGAGGGGCGGGCGTGACCGCGGCACCGGGTGAGGTACCGACGCGGGGGCGCGCGACCGGAGAATTGGTCTTCCCTTTCCCCTCTCCCAGGGGGCACTTGGGCTCGTCCTCGCCGGTCCTGGGCTGGGACGCGGGGCAAACCATCGCGCCGGAGGGGGGCGCGCTCCCGGAGCGCCCTGTGGAGCGGAAGCCTGAGCGCCCTCCGGGCGGGCAGGTAAGACGGCCCGGGGCCCAGAGTAGGGGCCACCGGTGGCGGCGCTTTAAGGGCCGCAGAGCGCGAGGGGCCCGTGGCTCATCCGACAGAGGAGCGCACTGAGGCCCAGAGAGGGCAAGGCATGAATGAATGAATAAAGCGCCTACTAGGTGCTAAGCATGGGCCGGATACCAGTGCCTGCCCTCCGGCAGCTTACATTCTAATGGGGTTGGGGTGGAAGTACGTCACAGGGGAAGGTGGCAATCAGTTGGTTGACACGGCCCTTCCAGGGACACTGACAGATTAGGGCAGGGATGGTTGACTTGACCAGGATCAACAGTTAGTGTCAGAGGTGAGGTTCGCACTCTGGTCTCCCTGACCCTGCTGAGCAGTTGGATCCGAGCCAGAGGACCTGGGTTCAGATCTGTGCTCTGAAACTTACTTGGGAAATTCACCCGCTTCTCTGGGCGTCAGTCTCCTCCTCTGTAAAGCTAGCGGGTTGGATCAGATGGCTTCTGAGCCGTCTCGACTCTGTGATTCTGCCTCTGCCCACGCCTGTCTCTGTTTGCCACCATCCCTGCTGTCTCCGCCTCCGTGTCCGTGGCCGGCTCCGTGTTGTCATCCGCAGCTGTGTCCCTATCCACGTGTGTGCACACGTGCGTGTCTGCGTCTCCAGCCCTGACCTCTCTCTGCTTGGCCCACAGCCGTGTCAGACCTCCTGGTGTGCTGAGCGCCCCCTCTCCCGGCCAGACCCCCGCCAGACGTGTCTGCCCCTGCTGCCCCTTCCGGCCCGCCAGGCTCACCTCTTTTTTTTTTTAATTTTATTAATTTATTTTGATTTATCAGCAATCACTTCCATATGCTTTTGAGTTGAAAATTCCCCACCCTCCCCAAGACAGTGCACAATCTGATATAGGCTTTACATTTACATTCCCATTAAACATAGTTTCACATTGGTGAAGTTGTAAGTAAAAATTAAAACCAATAGGAGGAACCATCAGAAAGATGAAACAAAACTCAACAGAAGATAAAAATAAGTGAGAGCGATTCAGCTTCCATAGTTCTTTCTTTGGATGTGGATAGCATTTTCTATCATGAGGCCTCTGGAGATGCCTTACATCCTTGCATTGCTGAGAGGGGGCTAAGTTCATCAACATTAGTCATCGCACAACGTGGCTGTTACTGTGTACAACATTCTCCTGGTTCTGTTCACTTCACTCCGAATCAGTCCGTACGAGTCTTTCCAGGTTTTTCTGAAGTCCTCCTGTTCATCATTTCTTATAGCACAATAGTATTCCATCACATTCATAGACCACACCTTGCTCAGCCATTCCCCAGTGGATGGGCATCCTCTCAATTTCCAATTCTTTGCCACCACAAAAAGACCTGCCATGAGTATTTTTGTACATGTGGGTCCTTTTCCCATTTGTTTGATCTCTTTGGGATATAGCCCGAGAAGTGCTATTGCTGGGTCAAAGGGGATGTGCATTTTTGTAGCCCTTTGGGCATAGCCCCAAATTGCTCTCCAAAATGGTTGGATCATTTCACAACTCCACCAACAATACATCAGTGTTCCAGTTTTCCCACATCTTCTCCAACATTTATCATGTTTTTGTCAGCTTGGCCGATTCTGATAGGTGTGAGGTGGTATCGGGTGCACTTTCGTAAGCCGCGTCCTGGCAGCCAGCACCCAGCTGGAGCCTCCATCACCCTTCTGGTCCCTCACCATTTGCAGGTTGGAGCTTGTGGTTTCCTCAGACCGGGGACATCCCTGGGAAAATGCTTGTGTTGATGTCTATATGCTGCTTTAGATGACTCATGATAACAGCTGGCCTTCCTATGATTCTTTAATGTTTACAAAGCCTTCTCCCCTCCACGTAAGGGTGATGATTGTTGCCCCATTGTATAGATGGAAAAGCTGAGGCTGGGATAGGTTCAGTGAATAGCTCAGGGCTAGTAAGAGTCTGAGATCTGAGCCAGGATTTGAATGCAAGTCTCTCCTAACTCGGAGCCTAGCACTCTGTATCAAAATGAGGGGCTTGGGGCAGCCAGCCCTGGCCCTGAAGTCAGGAGGACCTGAGTTCAAGTCCAGTCTCAGACCAAACATTTGACACTGACTAGATGTGTAACCCGGGGCAAGTCACTTAATGCCAGTTGCCTTAAAAAACAAACAAACAAAAAAGTCAAAATGAGGGGCTCGGTCTAGAAGGGAAGCAGTGAATTCTAGTGGAAAGAACCCTGCATCTTGCCAGGGTGGTTTTCCAGGATGCTGCTGGTGGAGGGCTGGAAGCCTGGCCATTCCCAGGGCTCGGGGCCTGGGCTGTCCCCATTAGAGTCTGAGGGGGTGTGGTAGTCAGGGCTGGGAGGGGGCTTTGATCTGCCTGGCACATGGTGTTCCTCGCCTCACTTAGTCTGGCTTGTCTGCCCTGTGGGTGGCAGTGGGTGGGGTTGGCTGGCTCCTCCTCCAAAGCCCTAGGTTCAGATCCCACCTGAGATCCTTAGTTGCTGTGTGACCTTGGGTAAGTCACTTACCTCCTCCAGCCTCAATTTCCTTATCTGTGAACTGAGAAAATTGGATTAGATAACCTGGGTGGGGGAGGGCATGACAGCCCAGGGAGCAGCCTCTGGGCTTGACCTGGGTCTGGCCTCCCTCTCTGGGAAACAGAGAATCTCTGTCATGATGTTCTCTGCGGTTCTTTTCAGCTGAAAGTGCTGTGATTTCTAAAGTTCCTTTTAATGTTTCAATTCTACAGATGTGTCTTGGGCACTTTGGAGAGAGCTGGCCTCAGACCCTGGCCCAGTGCCTGCCTGGGGCCACTGCTGGCTGTGTGACTCTAGCCAGCCTCTTTCTGTGCTCTCTAGTAGCTCTCTAAACTGGTAAATTGCAACAAGGATGCTAATCTGCATGGGTGGAGGAAATTTCCCCACCCAGGGAGTTCTCTACATTAAGGAAATCACGGGGCTGGTTCTAAACCCCTGTTGTGTAGCATCCTACAGTAATGCAGCCATTTTACAGATCCCATCCTCTCTGGTTCCCACCACCCTTGCAGCCTATAGTGGCCTTAAGCACACTACAAGGGGTGGAGGTCGGGTGTGTGGTAGGAAGAAGTCTTCACTTCCAGTCACAAGACCCCCACTCCAATTCCTTTTTTTTTAACCATTTTATTTTATTTTTAAAAAATATTTTTTCCTAATTTCATGTACAAAATTTTTAACATTTGTTTTTAAAAATTTTGAGTTCCAAATTCTCTCCCTCCCCCCTCCCTGAGATGGCAAGCATACAGGTTATACATGTGCAGTTATGCAAAACATTTCTATATTAGTCATGTTATAAAAGGAGATAGACCCCAAAAAACCCCCAGGAGGAATAAAGTTTTTTAAAAAGTATACTTCAATCTGCATTTAGACTCCACTAGTTCTTTCTCTAGAGGTAGATAGTATTTTCAACCATGAGTTCTTTGGAATTGTCTCGGATCATTATATTGCTGAGAAGAGCTAAGTCTTTCACAATTGACCACCGTTACACTATGGCTGTTACCGTGTACAATATTCTCTTGGTTCTGCTCACTTTACTTTGCATCAGTTCATGTAAGTCTTTCCTGGTTTTTCTGAAAGCATCCTGCTTGTCATTTCTTATAGCACAACAGTAGTCCATTAAATCGTGTACCACAGCTTTCCTGCCATTCCCCAATGGGTGGGCATCCCCTCAATTTCCAGTTCTTAACCACCACAAAAAGAGCTGCTGTAAATATTTGTGAACATAAAAGTCCTTTTCCCTTTTTTTTTTTTAATATTTCTTTGGTATACGGACCTAGTAATGGTATTATTAGGTCAAAAGGTATGCGCAGTTTTATAGCCCTTTGGACATAATCCCAAATAAGTCTCCAGAATGGTTGGATCAGTTCGCAGCTCCACCAACAATGCATGAGTGTCTCACTTTTCTCACATCCCCTCCAACATTTGCCATTTTCCTTTTCTGTCATATTAGCCAGTCGGATAGGTATGAGGTGGTACTTCAGTTGTTTTAATATGCATTTCTCTAATCCATACTGATTCAAAGCTTTTTTTCATATTGCTGTAGGTGGCTTTGATACTTCATCTGAAAACCACCTGTGCGTGTCCTTTGGGGGAATGACTTGTCTTCTTATAAATTTGACTCATTTCTCTCTCTATTTGACAAATGAAGCCTTTATCACAGAAACTTGCTGTAAAAAATTTCCCCCCCATTTTCTGCTTTCGTGGCCTTCGTTTGTGCAAAGACTTTTCAATTTCATGCAATCAGAATGATCCATTTTTTGGGTTTGCTTGTTGTCGTAATTTTAGCTAATGGGGTTAAGTGACTTGCCCAGGGTCGCACAGCTAGTGAGTGTTATGTGTCTGAGGCCGGATTTGAACTCAGGTCCTCCTGACTCCAGGGCCGGTGCTCTAGAGACCCTCATGGACCGCTTTGACCTTACCGTGGCAGACGGGGGGAGCCTTTGGTCTCTATCTTGTCATCCTTTAGTAGATTGGCTGTGTCTGACTTCTGGGGCCCCCTTTGGGGTTTTCTTGGCAGAGATCCTGGAGTGCTCTGCCATTTCCTTCTCCAGCCCATTTTACATTGGAGCTTGCCGGTTTTCCCAGCAGTTTTTCCCCATTCAAGGCTCAAAGATGATGACAGTGATCATAAGAGCAGGAATCCTCCAGTGGAGTTGTGGCCACGTCCGTCTGGATGTTCCCTCCGACAGTGCAGATAGCGCCTCAGCCATGCCGGCTCCATCCCATGCCCTTCTCGTCCGAATCCTCCTGCTGCCACAGCGCGAGGGGTCCACTCACCATGGGGTCATAGGATGGCAAGCTAGGGCTGATGGGACTCCAGTGGCCCCGTTTGACAGATGAGGAACCGATGCCCAGGAAAGAGAAGTGCCGTGCCAACATCACGCAGCTAGCGAGCTTCTGGGGCAGGATTTGAACCCAAGCCTTCTTTCTGAATCCCGCGTTTTCTGCACTCAGCCCCAAGGCCCCTCTTGCTGTGCTCTGATCAACAGTAATGACTGACTAACAGCTTGCCTTTCTGTAGGACTTAGTCCCCCATCCTTCAGAGAGTGGGGCTACAGGTCACCTTCTGATCCCCCAGGCTGTCTCCTGCACGTTTCACCCACGTAGCAAACAGCTGAGCCGAGGTCACCTCCGCCATGCTTGGGGAGCCGGGACTCACAGCTTCCTGCAGGACATGACAGCGCCTCATCCCAAGTGAAAGCAGGGAGGGATTGGAGAGATGACGCAGTAGGTGGGCCTCCTGCCCAAGGTGGGGAAACTGGGGCCTCTGGAGAGAGGAAGGGATTTCCCCCAGCTCTCACAGTTAGTGGCAGAGTCAGGACTCGAACCCAGGCCTCTTGAGTTGTGGCCTGGTATACTTACACACACACACACACACACACAATCTCCAGTTGAACTGAGCAGGGAATAGACCTGAATTTCTTGCTCCTTCCTTGTCTCCTAGCTTTTCAAGGCCGCACCAGATACTCATGCTGACACCTTTCCCTCACTCCCCAGGGGCCCTGAATCATGAAAAGAACCATTGTTCTCAGAACCGAGGCTCTGTGGACAGCAGCAGGCCTGAGCCCTGAGCCCAGTGGGGTGTGGGACCAGTACTTTTCCCTCTTCCCTCTCCAGGTGAGCTGAAACGTCCTCTTTTTGGCCATTTCTTCTCTGTGACCCTCTGGGCTGAGAGCTAGCCAAGCAGTCTGAAATTAGCCTGGGGTTTTGTTTACAAGAGGTCGGCCTGAGCAGAGGTATCCTGTGTGTCTTTGGACAGGTCCTTCGACCTCTCTGTTCTTCAGTCTGCCATCTGCTTCTTCACACAGTGGGGAGCGGGCTTACAGAACTCTTTACCCAAAGACAAGCCACAGACTCAAGGAGAAAGAAGAGAAATGCATGCATGATAGGGCTGGAGCTGCCATGGGGGCAGCGAGAGAGCAGGGAGCCTGCAAGGAAGGGGCTTGGGTCCTCTCCGACCACGGCTTCTTCAATGTGCCCTGGCCCCCTTGGGCAGTTTGTCTGAGGACACCCAGGGCCCCCTCCCAGAAGCACGTGCTTTCTATTACAGTTCAGCGGTCAAAATCATTCTACAAACAAGCTCACAGGGCCCAGGTCAGGAATCCCTGGTCTTTTTAAACTCTCCAGTTTTACAAGTGAGGAGGTCAGGCCCCCGGAGAAGTGACTTGTGTGAGATTTCATGGACAGGTCAGCGACAGCCACGAATAACTAAAAGGCCGGACTGGAATGACTTCATTTGATGTCCCAGTGATGTCCCACTGAGGTGATCCCACAGGTGTGATCCCCATTTCACAGGTGGGGCAGCTGAGGCTCTCCCAACCAGTTAGTGTCAGAGGCATGCAGACTCCAAATACCTGCAGGACCCTTTTCCCCCTGACCATCATGTTTTGGGGTCCTCCCCATCCTTCTGGAGTTCCTGAGATCGTGACCAGCCACACCCTCTAAGAGAGCATCCTTGGGGGCTCTGATGTGGTCTGAAAGGCTTGGGGCACTGACCCGCTTTGGGATTCTGCATCCCTGGCTGACCGCAGGTCCCCCCTGCTTGGAGAGAAGCTCATTGGAAGAAAGAGGCTGCCGCAGAATGGCCTGTGCTGTGGCTGAGAGGCCTGGGTAATTAAAGAGGGATTCCTGGTTCCGTGGCCAAGGCGGGCGATGCCTGTTTATTTTCAGCCAGCCGGAGAACAGGTAGATGTACTGGGGGGCAGGTGAGGTGGGGAGGCGCAGGGGCTGTGAGTAAAGTAAACGTGGAGTCTCCTTCAGCCCAAACCTGCCTAGTAGTTAAAATGAGCTCTGTGTCCTGGGTCTTGATGGCCTCCAAAGAGCTTGTCTTAAGAGGTGGAAAGTGTGGCTCACCCCAAGTGTGTGAGGGCCCGAGCTGAGGAGACGCAGGGCCAGAAGCACTGATTCATCACTCACCGTGTGTGGGGCCCTGATGCTCGGCCTAGTGCTCAGCACGCAGTAGGCATTTAATGAATGCTCGTGTACTTGACCAAAGTGCTGGCGGTGCAGAGAGAGGCAGAAAAGTCCCCGTCCACCAGGAGTCTAATGGGCCGAGGTCTTGTGACTCCCCAGGGAGGAAACAAACAAGGATTTATTGAGGGCCTACTGTGTGCCAGGCACCGTGCTAAGTGCTTTACAAAGATCTCGTCTGGTTTTCACAACAACCCTGGGTGGTAGGTGCCGATATCATCACCATTTTATAGATGAGGAAACTGAGGCAAGCACACGTTAAATGAGCTGCCCTGAGTCTGGATGCTAGGAAGTGCCTGAGATTAGATTTGAACTCAGGCCCCGTGCTTTCTCCACAGCATCACCAGGTATGGCTAGCAGGCAGCCCTGTAACAGAAATGAGCCTGGGACCCCAAAGGAAGGACAGATCCCCCCCACCCCCGTCGGGCCTGGCTGCTTCCTTCGAGAGTCAGGTGTGCGCTCTGGTCTGCTGCGGAGGCCCTGGTGCCCACCCCTGTCCAGGCCATGATTCCCTCAAGTTCTCCAGCTGCACGTTTGCTCCCGCTGAGCTAGGATCTTCTGTCCTTCCTTTGTGTGCCTGAGAGAGGCTGCTGCAGTGCTGTGGGTGGTAAAGAATGAGTCACACCAGCAGGAGGCTTAGTCAGGGTCACACAGCAGGCAGGCGGGTGGGCAGGGTGCTGGCCATCCTTCCTCTCCCCCCCAGCCTCTCCAAGGCTGCTGCCTCTCTGGCTGAGGCTCTTCCAAGCCACGCTTGGGAGAAAATGGCCAGAGCCAGATACCTCCTCTGGGTGTCCCCGGGCGACAGGCATGGGCGTTTAGTGGGGAAGCGCCTGGAGCCAAACCTGCATGCCTTTGGCAGGTCAGGAGGGGGGCCGGGGTAGCTTTCAGACACATGCGTGTGGGGATCATGACAGCCCGGGCAAACGGAATGCTTCACAGATGCAGCCTTCTCTCCTCGAAGGCCAGCCTTAGCACAGAGACATTTCATATCTGTTCACTGCAGTGGCTTCTGGCCAGAGGCAAGGGGGTTAATGACTCTAGAGGGTGGGGCTGGGGCATGGAAGTAGAAAAGGAGAGGGATTGCTTGGCCAGGCTGAGAAAAGGCAACAGACAGATATGTCCTGACCCAGAAGCAGGATTGCCTCTGTCCATCTGGGCCTGGGGTGTTTCAGAAGATCTGCTCGGTGGAATCAGACACATGAGGAAATACAGAGGCAGGGTCCTGGCCCGGAAGAGCCTTTCATGAGGCGAGTGTGAACCCTGCCTAGTTGTGTGACCCTGGGCCGGTTACTTCACTGCTCTCTGCCTCAGTTTCCTCAACTGTAAAATGAGGATAATAATAGCATCTACCTCCCAGGGTTGTTGTGAAGAGCAAATGAGATCGTAACTGTAAAATGCTTTGTGAACCTTAAAGAGCTATGTAAATGCTAGCTAGCTGTGATGGTGGTGGTAGTAGTAGCAGTAATAGTTGTAGGAGCAGTAGTAGTAGCAGCAGCAGCTGCTAGCACCTTGACGGTGCTCAGTGAATACTTACTGGCTGAGGGAGTGATTGGAAGGAGCTTGGGTGCGTTACCTCGTAGGCATTTCACCCAGCACCTGCTCCATCAGGATTTCTGTCACCTCATTCCCTCTCTTCTCATCCACACCCCAGGTGTAACCACACATCATGAGGCAACCTTGATGCTTTGGGCCCCAGTGCTTGACCTGTTTCTCAGGAACATCCTGGAATAGGGTTGGGGGCCAAAACGGAGCAGATTACTCCAGACAAATGGGGCATCTGGGGCCCGTGAAGCAGGGGCTGAGGGCCAAGGCCATCGCCCTGGTCTAGCACCAGCATCTGGGAGGGATGGACGTGGGGGAAGTGACCTAAGCTCCAGGCACTGGTACTCTGGGGTTTTTGGTGGGTGATGCAGTGGCTGCTGGGAGCTGGCCAGAGCAGGCCGCTCTGAGCCATTCTCCAGGACCTGCCTCAGGGGCTGGTGGATTTGAGGACGTGAACAGAATCTTGGGCCCAGGTTACCTGCATCATATATTTGTGCGTATTAAAAGTCTGGTGCAGTGGGCCAGTGCAGACCCAGGCGGAGCTCCGAGGACAGGCTCCCTGCTCAGGTGCAGGCAGCCATAGGTCAGCTGCATGGATGTTGCCTCCGCCGTCATTAAGTTTGGAGTCCTTGGCAGCCCTGCGCAGTGGATGGCTCTCGGCAGAAGGTTCCCTCTCCTCCCGACAGCTGTAGCTCATTCCTGGTGCTTGATGGGGCGGGTGGTCAGCCAACCTCCTGAAGCTTCCCAGAGCCCCGGGAGGGACAGCCCCTTCTCCGTGAAGCTTCTGATGAGCGCCACGAGCCCCTGTGAATGGCTTGGCTAACCACTCATCTGTTAAACGTTCATCTCTTGCAATTTCAATTCAATTCTAATAAGTTTATTGGCAAGACGGAGAGATTAGCGCTGCCAGTGTCTGGGCTTTGCAGTGACAATGGGGGAGAGGTTTTATGTGTTTTCATTTTGAATGATTGTCTATTTCTGGTCCCATTATGGGCTTTAAGGTAATGCTTTCTCTCTGCTTGGTCAGGAACAGCTTTTCCAGAGCATCAGATGCTCTGGCTGCCTCCCACCATCCGAAGGTACCACTCTGGTTTTCCCCCAGTATGGCCTGGGGCACTTCCCCACTGACATCTCCCCCCCCCCCCGTGGCGCCTGGTCAGTGTGTGGGCACTGCAGATGTTTGGCTTGCCACGGGTGTTTCTTTGGTCTCTTGAGCTATGCTCGTTGCTGGTGGGGCTGGGGGTAGAGGACACAGTCCCTGCCCCACCGGGGGGGAGGGCAAGGGGGACAAAGCCAAAGCTTCCATCGGTACGAGGCAGGGAGATATGAGTAATTACCCAAGGGAGTAAGCCCTGGCGAGCTTCAGAGAAGGGGAAGAGGAAGACAGCGTGATGGGCAGTGGGCTGGGAAGAGGTGGGACGTCCCAGCCTCTTGAGTTGGGAGTTCAGCCACCTCTGCCTGAAATCTGCTGGCCCCCATCCCTGACCAGACACCGTTGCTGGGTATGCCATCTGTTGATGTCTCTAAGTGGTCAGCATGGTGCTGGGATTGACTGTCCTGCATCATCTGCCCTTTGGGGTCGAGCAGGAAAAGTCAGGAGCTATTTCTACCTTGGCAGCCCATTGGAAGGCCCTCCTGGAAGAACGGATGGGACTGTATTAGCAGCAGCTAGGTGGTACAGTGGATAGAGCTATGGGCTTGGAGTCAAAGGACCTGAGTTCAAATCCAGCCTCAGATACTTGATGCTTACTGTGTGACCCTAGGCAAGTCACTTAACCCTGATTGCCTCACCAAAGAAAAAAAAAAAGAATGGATGGGACTTGAGCAGATGGAATAGAGGGCCTTAGGGCATGGGGGACAGAGAGGAGACTGGTCTCGCTGTTGGGAAGGACTGGGAGAGCTCTTCCTGTCTCAGGTCACCGGCCCTCTTGGCTCTAGATTTTTAGTGCGCTCACCCAAGTTGGAAAGTCAGTAGGTGGGAGGCGGGAGCCAGGATGTGGAGAGCCCTCAGTGCCAGGCTGAGGCCTGATGTGTTCCATAGGCCATAGAGAGTTATTGGAGATTTGCTGTGAAGGGTACCAAGGGAGAAGGAGTGCTGTCCCCGAGGTCGAGGCAGGAAACAGGCTTGGAGCACCCTCAGAAAACGACTGCAAGGGATATCACTTGATGTCCTGGATCCTGAGCGTCAAGAGGCTCAGAGAGAATGAGGGCTTCTGGGAGAGGTGAGGAAGAACAGGTTTCTGAAGGGGAAGGAGGAGGGAGGATGGCCCAAGCTGGGCCTAGAGGCAGGAGCGAAGGTGTCCAAGGCAGGCCCCGCATCCCTGCCATTTCTCTGAGGTCATCGTCCTCCCTGAAGGCCGAGGGACGTTCCCTCCTGCAATGGGCTCAGCTCCTCAGCAGGATGGGGGACTGGAGGCCCCCTCTCTTGTCGCCAGCTGCCACGCCGCTGGCTCTGATCCCGAAGACCTCGGGTCCTGCTGGCTCCAGCCCGGAGAGTCTTGGGATCACAGCTTACTTCCTGTTCTTTGCCTCCCTGCAAAGGCTTTCCTTCCTCGTCTGCCAAATGGGATGGTAATGTCTGCTGGACTTCCCTGATGGGGGAGATTTGAGACAGAAACAAATAATGCATTCATTGTTAGTATATATTAGTATGTCGCTGCTGCTGCAGATCTGCAGTCTGAAATTAAAGACGCATCCATTCTTGCATCTCCTGTATCTGAGCAGAGACGCTGAATCTTGCTGAAGTCTGTGCCTTGAGCAGGTCCTGCCTGTTGGCAGATGCCTCGTGGCAGTACCCTCAGCCCCCAGACACGTCCCCGACTAGCCTGTTCATGGTGCCCCAAACTCCACCACTAGAGATTTATTTCTTGAGAAGGTTGTAAAAATTTTGAGAGCTCTCTGTTAAAAGCACAACTGTACATTTTCATACGTGAGCTTCTTACTTTTCCCTTTTGTTCTGTTTCTTCTTTCACAACATGACTAATGTGGAAGTCGGTTTACGTGATTGCATGTGTATGGTCTACAGCAGATTGCTTGCCGTCTTGGGGAGGGGAAATGGGAAAGAGAGAGGGAGAAAAAAATTTGGAATTCAAAATCTTATAAAAAAAATGAATGTTGAAAAATACTATTTACAAAAAAAATACTTAGGCCTCTTAGAAGGGATGAGACTCAGAGGAGGTTAGAGGTGGATGGGAATTCCACAACTGGTTGCCATGTCTCCATCCGTCCACTGAAACTGAGGCCCAGAGAGGGAAGTGACTTACCCAGGGCCCTGTGGCTGAGCAGGAGGGCAAGAATCTGAACTTAGGTCTTGGGATTCCTAGTCCAGAGCTTAAAAAAAAAAACCCCAGCACAGGAAAGCTGTACCATGATGTCTCCACCATGTTGATGACCATCTGAAGTCCAAGATGGAGCATGAGCTAGGGGTCCGAAGGAGGGAGGGAAGGAAGGATGTGCCAAGCACCGTCCTCTAAACATCCCTGGGAGGTAGGTGCTATTATTATCCCCATTTTACAGCTGAGGAAACTGAGGCAGGCAGTGACGTGATCTGCCTAGGGTCACCCAGCTGGTGAGTGTCTGAGGCTGAATTTGAACGTGGGGCTTTCTGCCTCCAGGCCCCGCACTTTACCCACGGTGCTCCATCGCTGTCCCCTGGTAACTGGTCAGGGAGGAGCTGGGGCACCCATTCCCCTCCTCACCCATTCCCCTCCTCACGTGTGGCTCCTGGTTGCATTTTTGCTGTCTGGACCCCCAGGCTATGCATGCTATGGGCAGGCCTTGTTCCTGGCAGGTTCTACATGAATTCATACCCCTGGGCATGAACGTTGCCCCTTTAGGCTGGCCATGTGGACCAGCGATCTGTGGAGCCTGTCTCTGACAGGTGACCCCAACAGGCATGCCCGCCTCCCAGGGCTGAGAGGATTGGCAGCATGCCCCTCAACGTTGTCTGCGCCTTCAGGAAGCCGCCCTGGGCCTCTCATCCCTCTGTTCCACTTTTGAACCGATAGATATTTTTAGCGGGGCCCGCTTCCGTTCCATGAGCCCACTGAGTAAAGTAGGACTTCTTTTGTTGGGCCTAAATTTACCACTGGAGCCTTCCTGGACAGCCTGGGCTTGGCAAGCCAGCGAGGCCCCTTGTCCTCCTTCAGCCCCTCCCCAACTTTCTAAACTGGCTGCATCCCTTCTGCCTTTCTGACTGGGTGCTGGGTATACACAGGACTGGCGCTGTTGCCCTCAGGGATTCTGTATTCTCATGGGCCTGCAGGGGCAGGGATACCGGGTCAGGACAGTGGTCATTATAATAAGGATGGCTGACGTTATGTAGCATTTGCAAAAGGCTTTACAGTTACCATCTCATTTGACCTTCTGAACAATGTCTGGGAGGTACGGTGCTATTGTTAACCCCCATTTTACAGATGAGGAAACTGAGAGAGTGTAAGTGACTAGCCTAGGGTCTCCCAGCCAGTAAGTAAGTGTCTGAGGGGGATTTGAACTCAGGTACACAGATAAGGCTGACACAAGGTGAGGAGGAATAGAGGTCAGGGAAGGGTCCAAGCAGACGAGAAGGTCACTTGTAGGTGCTGGGTGGGAGGGAGAGAAGGGGGAATCAGGGAGAGCTTCATGAAGGAGGGGGCCCTGAGCCGTGGAGGAAGAGGAGGACAAGACAGATGAGATGAGGAGAGAGTCCAGGTGGCCGTTCCAGGCCTCGGGACCAGCCTCGAAGGTGCCCTGACATGAGAGACGGGCAGCCCAGCTCAAGAGGAACGGCTGAGGATGCTGGAAGGGGAGGGACAGGCTGGAAGGCCGGAAGGGAAGATCGTATTTACCAGACCAAGGACGTTCTGTCTGACTGTCAAATATGAACAGGGCTGACCTAGAGACAACCCCACAGGCTGCTTCCGGTTCTTGCCAGAATGTCTTGGGGGCCAATTATCTTCCCTCGCGTGCCTCAGTTTCCCTGTGGTAAAATGAACATGGGTGAGAACCACAAAGTCTCTGAACTAACATGGACCTTGAGAGGGCTCCATCTACCACTCCCAGCCGGCCCCAAGGTGGGTGGTGCCCAGAGGCCTTGAATGAATGCTGATGTGCTCTCTTCTTGCCTCCTAGAGTCTGAGCAGCCTCTCCAGGGCTCGCGTGGGGCCCCATGGGGAAGAGATACTTCTGTGATTATTGTGACCGCTCCTTCCAAGACAACCTCCACAATAGGAAGAAACACCTGAATGGGGTCCAGCACCTGAGGGCCAAGAAGGTGTGGTACGACCTCTTCCGAGGTGGGTGCCCTCCGGAGGAGGGGGGCCTGGCCCTCGTGCCTGAGGAAGCCACCACGGGCCAGCGTGAAAACAGACCTGAGCGAGGCGCCTGTGTGTGTGTGTGAGAGAGAGAGAGAGTGAGCGTGAAAGAGTACGAGTGTGCACGTGTGAGTGGGTGTGGGTGAGTGTGCATGTGTGCATGTAGGAATATGTGTGGGTGTGGGTGAGAGTGTGTCTGCGTGAGTGTGGGTGAGTGTGTGTATGAGTGTGCATGTGTGTGAGAGAGCAAGTATATGCTTGTGAATGTGTATGTGTGAGAGTGTGAGTGTGCATGTATGAGTGTGTGTGAGTGTGAATGTGTGGGCCTGTGTAACAGTATGTGTACGTGTGTGTGGATATAGGTGTGGGTGTGAATGTGTGAGTGGATGTGTGAGTGTGCATGTGTCGGGTGTGAGAGAGTGAGTGTGGGTGGGAATGTTCATGTGGGTGTGATTGTGCGTGTGGGTGGGTGGGTGTGTGTGAGACAGTTCTAAGGGTTTTTTTTTTTAAAGTCTCACAGTCCCCAGAGCCCTCTGAGCTCCTGTCCAGCATAGGGGACAGCGCTCAGAGGAGATGAGGTGGACATCAGTTGCCCGGGGCGTCCCAGGATGGGACTTTTAAAAGCTGGTTGGGCTGGTGTGGAGCCCAGGCAGGGGCTGAGGTCCCAGAGGGCTGGAGTCCCAGCCACACCAGAGCTAGAAGAAGCAGGAGTGGAATGCCCCGGGGAGGGAAGCCGTAGGCATGATCTTGGGGTGCATGGGAGAGGGGACCTTATTCTATGCTGGTGAAGTGTGAAGGGCTGGGACCAGAGCCTGAGCAAACAGGGGGACTGCCTTCAACCAAGGAGAGAAGAGCCGGGGAGCAGAGAGAGCCCCAGGCCTCTCCCATTTTGTGTGTCTCTGTCCCCGGGGGCGCTTTCCTGCCCACCTCTTGGCCTATGCCTTGGTTTTCCTGTGTCTCAGGCAAAGGCTCGGGCACTCTGCCCAAAGGAGGCCCAGCCTTGCCTTGCTTGTCTCTCCTCTGTCAGGGCCCGAAAAGCTGCTCTATCCCTGGAATGTGGCTTTGCTCAGCCTTGGGGATGGAGAGGCTGAGTCTCCAATAGGTCTAAGGCCCCTGTGTAGGCCAAGGAGGGCCGCTGTCTCCAGAGGGCCCCTCTGTTTCTGAGTCTCTGATCACAAGCCAGAAGTTTGTCCTCCCAGTGTTCTTTCAGGCCTAGGTCACTCTGGTGCCCCCATTTAGCCTTCTTGGGGTGTCTGGGTAGGAGGAAGACCCTTTGGGATGACGCTCGCCAGGGCTCCCTAGTCTTCTCCCTGCCTCCAAAAAATATGGCTTGTGCTACCTTGGAAGGAGCAGGTGACTGCCGCTCCCCAACTGCAGGACAGGGGCTTTGGATGAATAAGGCCTTGTTCTGCAGGAGGCCTTTCTTGGCCTACCCCGGGAGCTGCAAAGGATAGGGTTGGGTTGGATTTCTTTGGGATGGGGAAGTCCCAGGGGAGGAAAATCCCTCTACCTGAGCCAGTTGGCCACCATCTCCTTTTTAGCTTTGTCTTGAAGACTTTTCTGGAGCCCTGAGAGGTTGCCCGGGGTCATGCTGCCTAAACGTGGCAGAAATGGACCCGAGCCCAGGTCTCCCTGGCTTCACGACCGGCTCTGACCGCCGCCGCTCATGGGTCAGTACAGACGGCTTGAACGAAAGGCCTTTGGAAAATCCCATCTGAGTGAGTTGATGTTGCCATGATTGTTTCTGACCCGGCCAAAGCCGAGCCCGGCTGTAGTTGTGGACGGGAAGAGCTGACGAGGCAGCCGAGGGATTCAGGACAAATCCTGGGCCCAGCTAGAGGCAGCCGGGTGGCTCAGTAGCTGGAGCGCTGGGCCTGGAGTCAGGAAGACCTGAGTTCAAATGTGGCCTCAGACACTTACGAGTGTGTGACCCTGGGCAAGTCACTGAACCCTGTTTCTTTCTTTCTTTTTTTTTTGGTTAGGCAGTTGGGGTTAAGTGATTTGCCCAGGGTCACACAGCTAGTAAGTGTTATGTGCCCCTGAACCCTGTTTCTTAATCCACTGGAGAAGGAAATGTTTCACCTTTCCAGTATCTTCGCCAAGAAAACCCCACGGACGGTCTGGTCCCCAGGGGCACCAAGAGTCAGACGCAACTGAACAGCAAGACTCACTGTCTCTCCTCGGCTGTTCTGCCAGTCAGCAGGCCTTCTGTGTGCCAGGCACTGTGCCGAGGAAGGCAAACAGTCCCTGCCCTCAGGAGGCTCACAGTCTAATGGGGAAGAGCACGTGCACAGCTCTGGACAAACACGAGCCTTGCAGGGTACTGAGAGAGGGCAGGCGTCGGCCTTAAGGGGAGCAGGAAAGGCTTCCTGTAGAAGGTGGGGTTTTAGGCAGAGGTGAGGAGGGAGGGCCTTCCTGGCAGGGGCACAGCCACAGGAAAATGCCCGGAGTCTGGAGATGGAGCATCCTGTGTGGGAAACAGGCGGGGGGCCAGTGTCACTGGATGGAAGAGTGCGAGGGGGAGGGAGGAAGGGGTGAGAAGCTGGACAGGTAGATGGAGGGCCAGGTTAGGAAGGACGTCAAAGGCGAAGCAGCAGCTTGTACATTCCTTGCCTTATTCAGACATGTTCTCTCCTGGGAGAGGCAGGCATCTGCTGGTGCCAGCTGTGTGGGATGGCTCCGAGAGCCTGCCTCCTCCCAGGCTTGCTGGGTGACAGACGGGCAGCCACCGCTTCCACCGCGCCACCCCCACAGCGGGAGATGATGGCAACTTAACCTGTGGGCCGCCTGTCTGAGGGGAATGTCACTGCCTGTCTTGGCAGTGGGAAGTTGGTGAAAGGCCAAGGGTACCTCAACAACAGAGACTCCTGCCCTGGGCCCGGCCCTGTGGGAGGCCTGTGGGGTCCTGCCCTGGGCCCGGCCCCATGGGAGGCCCCAGGGGTCCCACACCAGGGCAGGGGGACACAAGAAGCGGAAGCTGCTGCCCTGCCTTTGGATTTTAGGCCTTCTGAGAAGTCAGGATTGTATGTGTGAAATACTGGGAGCAGCCCAAGACCCCGAGGGCCCAGAGCCTGGCCTTGGCGATTTGTGGGATCTGCATAGGCATAAAGGAGGGATGAGAGTGCTATGGGGGAACGTTAGAGACAGGCGAGAAGATGGCATTTGGGGGACACCAAGGACCCTTCCTGCCCTAGGGACTTCAAGGAGACCACCTGGACACAGGAAAAATTGGCCCTGATGCCTCTTGGCTTCTGCCCCAAGGGGTGGCCAGGGACTGTCAGTGAGTCACAGCATCTTCCCACAAAGCCCAAAGGGTGCTCAGCATCCCTCCAGCCCCACCCCTGCCTGAGCAGAATCTCCTCTGTAGACACCTGACCCATGGGCCATCTGACCCGTGGACCACCTTGGCCGGCTCCAAGTGTTGGCAAGTTTTTCTTAATATTGAGCAAGAAGCTGAGTCTCTGGCTTCCCCACCTTTTCAGTTTCTGCCCCTTAGCCAAGGACAAGGCCAATCTTTCTCCCTAGGACATCCCCTAGGTCGATATGTCCCAGGGGGCGTAGCGTGGAGTCCCCTCACTGCTGAGTGCCATCTCCTGGATGAGTCTCAGCTGGGCCGGGTCTCCCCAGAAGGGGGCCCAGGTCGGGTCTGGTCGGGCCAGAGCTGTTGGGGCTGTGGCCTCCCCCTGCCCCAGCTCTTCTCGCTGGCCCCGCATCTAATGTTGGGAGCCAGCTTGCGCCCTTTGGTACCCCCGCCGCCCTGCCCCATCCTAATGGGCTCTCTTCCTTTGGGTAGATGCCGCAGCCATCCTGGTGGAGGAGCAGAACAAAAGGCCTTGTAGGAAGTTTCTGGAGACAGGTGAGGACGCTCTTCCCTCAGATCCAGAGGGGAGCCGCCGACCCAGGGGGCTGGGGGCCCAGGACACCCTTCCCTTCCCTCCCTCCCTCCTTCCTGGTGTATCCCCCTGGGACCCCTTCCTTAACCATACTTCTCAGAGAAGCCACTGTCCCTAGGGATGTCCTTTCCATGTGATGCCTCCCCTCCAGCCTCCTGGGGACCTCTGTTCCCTCTTTCCCTCCCCCTCCAGCTTCCTGCCTCCTGGGGGGTCCCTCCTTTTCCCCCTCTAGCCTCCTAGGGGCCCTGCTCCCTCCTGCTTCCTAGGGACCCCTGTTCCCTCCTTTCCTCCCCCTTCTCCAGCCTCCTGGGGGGCCCTGCTCTCTCCATCCTTCCATCCCTAAGGGCCTCCCTGGTTTTCCTCATCTGCTGTAGGTCAGTGTGACTTTGATTCCAACTGTCGATTCTCACACATGACATCAGGGGACCTGGAGCAGCTGGTGGCCCAGGTGCACGGTGAGCGTTCTGGGGCGGGGAGGCTTGCTGTGTGTAAGCAGAACAGTCCTGCTCTAGGAGCACTTCAGGACTTAATGGGGGCTTCCCTCACTGTCACCCTGAGAAGGAAAGAGTAGCAGTGTTATCATGCCCATTTGATAGATGGGAAACTGAGGCTAAGGATGGAGAAGTGATGTACACAGCCACCTTGGGAGGCTGGACTTGAACCCCGGTCCATGGCAGAGGGTGGGGGGTGGCCTCTGTGACACAGACCCTGGTCCCCAGGCCACTTGGGACCCTGCTTCCTGTTGTCCTTCCCAGCTGAGAGGAGTGGGAGAAGGGGAGGTCTCCTTCCCTACTGGGGGTCAGCAGTGGCTCTGGGAGAAATGACCAGAAGGGGAGAAACAGCGAGGGAGCACAGCACACTGGCCCTGTGCCCCCAACCCCCAGGCAGGCTCCTGGCTGCTGCTCTTCTTTCCCCTCCATCCCCTCTGCCCTGGGGAGTGACCAGGATTCTCAAACAAGCCTTCATGTTTCCAAAGTGCTTCTCAGACGTTTGTTTCTCCTGCCAAGCGTGTGAGGTGGGAAACGTCGGTGATATTGTCCCTATTTTGTGGATCAGGAAACTGAGGCACAAAGAACCTTAAGTGCCCTGCTGCATGGTAACAAATCTTGGCTACAGTGAATCGTGCCTTGCCCACTGGCTCACATCTCTAGGTAGTGGGGTGTTCTAGGGGGCCTGGGGGCCAGGAGGGTCACTTCGTGAAGGGCAGGAGCCTGGGCCCAACTGGATTTCCTAATCCTGCCGGTCCCTGTGTCTTCCCTAGCGCTCTCTCGGGCTAGAGGCCAGCAGCCCTGGGGAGGTCAGTGTGATAGCTCCCCCTCCTGGCTAAAAGTGGCCAGCTCCGGGCCTGCCTTCTAGGGGATCCTTGGATGGAGTATGTGAGGAGGAGGGTGTGACAGTGGGGAGGGAGGCTTCAGGCGGCCAGAAGGAGGAAGGCTCGAGTGCTTTGTGTTTTGGGGCTGGGGGGCTGGGGCCCCCATGGGACCTCATCTCCACTGGTCACAGGGGCCCCAGGCCCTGTTCTGCAGTGGGTAGCTGTGGGCTTCCCAAGCAGAGGCTGGATAACCTCTGGGAGGGCCTGGTGCCAGGGCCCTCTAGTTCAGGGGTGGTTGGGACCCGCTGGCCGTGGAGACAGAGCCCTTCTGATCTGAAAGTCTGTGACTCCTATCTGCCCCCATCACCCCAAAAGATCCACTGGATAGTAAGCCATGCCTCTTATGAATATTCATGAGCCCTGTGGCAGAGATTCCCTCCCCCCTATAGCTAGTGTGAGAGGTGGCGGGGCACCCTGGGCTGGGGTCAGTCATGGCAGGTCCCTCCCAGCCCCTTGGCCTCCACCCTCCTGATCTAGAAAATGGGGCCGTACTGGGCATATGATCTCAGAGGCCCACTGAAAACGCTACCTTTCCATGACTGTCTCTTCCTTTCGTAGCCAGATGGTGTTTAGCTGGCAGTAGGGTAGGAGGCAGGGTAGTGCTTCCGGCTTCTTCCCCAGAGCTGCTCATGTGTGTCCTGCCAACCTACTGTGGGAGCAGAGTCTGGAGGCGCTTCCTTCCCCCTCCCCACTCCTTTCCTTCCCCTTCCCCTTCCCCCTCTCCCTCCCCAACATCCCCTCCCCCTCTCCCTCCTCTGCCAGGCCCCAATGCCCCTGGCCCAGCCCTCTGGTGCCCAATACCTCACAGCAGCCATCCCTCCCTCCCTTCTCACCTCCCAAGTATTCTCTTCTCCAAGATCTTTCAGCATCTTCATGCAGCCTGAATTCTCCAGGCCTGGTCCCCTTCCTCTGGACATTCTCCAGCTTGTAGCCCTCTTGTTCAGCCAAAGTATCCAGACTGAACACAGTCCTGGCCTGAGCTCTGATGATGAGGGCCTCTCACCTCCTTCCTAGAGTCCACACCTTCTTTCCTGTAGCCCAAGATCAGCTCTTGTGGCAGCCCCAACATGCAGGTGACTCACGGAGCTTGCAGTCCGCTCCGACCTCCAGATCTTTGTCAGGCAAACTGCTGTCCAGCCCTGCCTCCTTTGCCATGTACTTGTGGAGTTGAGGCTTAGAATGCAGATGTCTTCTTAGGTTTAGCTGATTTTCTGGCCTGTTGCAGCTTTTTGGATCCGGACTCTCTCCTGCCCTGCGCTGGCTTTCCCTCTCACCTTGGTGTCTTCTGCGTGTGGGCAGAGCACACCGTCTGTGCCTCTATCCAAATCATTGATCAGCCTGGTCAGTGTGGCGGGGCCATGCACAGATCCCTGGGGCACCCTACTGGTGACCTGTTTCCAAACTGACATTAGACCGTTCATGGCTCCTCTTCAGGTCAACCTGTTTAGCCAGTTTCTGAATCCAACTAACCACACTGTCCTTCAGCCTTTCATCTTTCAGTCTTCTAGGGAAGAGAACTGGGGAGTGACTTACCCACCATCTCCTCTCTGGAGCCTTGTGTCGGCCTCTCAAGGGCCACGGGATGGGGTTGGAGAGGTGGCCTGGGACAGGGAATAGGCTTACTGGACCCAGAGTCAGAAAGGGCTGGACGTAAGCCCCACCTCAGACAAGTCCTAGCTATATGACCTTGGGCAAGTCACTTCACTACTGTCTGCCTCAGTTTCCTCTCCTATAAGATGAGGGGGCTCCAACGTCCCTTTCAGCTCTCAAGCCAGGACTCTGGGCCTTCCTCAGATGACCCCTCCTTGTGGCTGGGCAGGGGGATTCTTTCCCAGTAGTCACACGGAGCAGGGGATGGGGAAGGCCCATCTTAGCAACCAAGCCAACCTCCTGGCAAGTGTCTGGCCTCCTTCCCCAGCAGTGCGGCTGGTGCACTGGCCCTTGTGCCAGGGCTGTGTTGCAGAGCCGACCGCACAGGTGGCTGGGAGTGGGCATGGTGCCCTGAGCGGAAGAGCCCCCGAGGAGCTGTCACCGGCTTTCAGAGAAAGGCCAGGGGTTTCATGGGGTGGAAGGATTGCTGGGCCGGGCCAAGGACGGGCCACTGCTCACCTCATCTTCTCTCTTCCCCCCCGGCCCAGAGGAGAGACTGTCCAGGGATCAAGAGACTGTGGAGGTGCCAGAGGGGAGCATCGAAGACTGGCTGGAGAAGTGGGCCAAGCGGCGGAGCTCTGCCCAGAGCAGCAGGTACCCACCCCGGGGCAGAGGGACCCTCCCTCCTCCCCTTAAGGGCAGCAGGTACCCACCCTGGGGCAGGGGGACCCTCCCTCCTCCCCTTAAGGGCAGCAAGTACCCACCCCAGGGCAGGGCAACCCTCCCCTCCTCCCCTTAAGAACATCCCCTCCCTCCCAGCTCAGCAGCTGTGGCTCAGGCAGGGCTCAAGCCCCTGGTACAGGCCGGCCTGGGCCTAGCTTTGCCCTCTTGTACCAGCGGCTGGACCTTTTTGGGTCAGGCTCACCTTGTGTCCTGGGGCTCGCCTTGCGTCCTGGGGCTTCCCGTGTGTTACTTTTCAAACCAGCCCCAAGGAGGCCTGAATTCTTTACACTGGGGTCCCGCTACAGATGGCACTCTGTGCATAGTGCCAGGCCAAAGAGGGGGGCTGATCAGTGGAGGCTGAAGTGAATTATGGGCAGGGGGAGGCAGAGCTGGGAAGCCAGGAGTGCTGGTCTCCAGCCCAGGAGCCCTCCCTGTCAGAAAGCCATGGGTAGCAGGTCTGTGCCCTCGGGGTGTAGGGGGTGGGGAGCTGCAGGGTCTCCCAGCCCTGGCTGTCATCACAGTACCCGCCCCTGCTGCGTATGGTGCCTTTTCCTGGCCTCTGTCCCTGCCACTGGGGGCCTTAGGACCCTCGAAAAAGAGTGAGGATCGTGGGTTCAGATTTAACATCCAGTATTGACCAAAGTGCTTTGGTCCTCATAACAACCCAGGGTGTGGGGGGTGTTATGATTATCCCCATTTTACTGATGAAGAAACTGAGAGAGAAGTTAAGGGGCTGCCTTAGGGCCACACAGCCATTAAATGTCTCTATGACTCCCAGGCTAGCACAGTGTCCCCTGGAGCACCTAGATTTAGAGCGGGAAGTGATGAATGAAGGAAGGAAGGAAGGAAGGAAGGAAGGAAGGAAGGAAGGAAGGAACGAATGAATGAGTGAAGCATTTATTAAATGCTTTCTGTGTACGAGGCACTGTGCTGGGGGCTGGGCATACACATAGGAAGGTGACAGGGCCCCTGGTCCCTAGGAGCTCAAGGGGGAGACAACACGTACAAGGGTCCCAGCCACAGGTCCAAGGGAATGGTCCTGTGGTCCTTGGGGGCCAAGGGCAAAGCAGGTGGTGACACACCTCATCTTCCTTCATGCCATCTCCACTAATAAGAGGCCTTTTGTTTTGTGTTGGGGGATGCAGACTCTAGGATAAAATGATTAGCCTACGGTACTAAGTCATGGAGCTGAGATTCGAACCCAGATCCTTGGCCTCCAAATCCAGGGTTCATTTCTGTGAGTGGGACTCAGTCCAGGAGTGGGTGACTCACTGTTCTTAAAGGACAGGTGTGAGCCATGGGGAGGGGATGAGGCGGCTCCCCTGGGCTGCTGGCTAGCTCCCATACGTAAAGGCCAGGCATTGAGAGCACTGTGGAGGTGATTCTGTAGGCCAGAGGAGCAGGAGGTTCCTGGCTGTTGAAAGCTCTTGACCTGAGGAGCGATTAGGGAAGGTACCAAGTGCCTGGGGATCCAAGCTTCTTCGGGGTCCCAAACTGAATGGAGGGGCTGGCAGTCCAGATTTAAGACCTGCCTCTCTGGAGCAAGGCCAGGCCCCCACCCCGACAGTCCCTATAGGCCCCCAGGCTTTGAAAATGCAGGGCTCCTCTGGTCCACTCCCTGGGGAGAGAGCTCTGAGGACGGGTGTCCTAACAGGAGGGGCTGCTACCCAGAAGCCACCAGGGGCACAGGTAGTCTTTTCAGAGAGTCAGCCACTTCTCTTGTCCTGAGCAGCTGGGACTGGGCACGCAGCCTGTGACAGCCACTGGTGGTGCCCGGGGGTGAGCAGTGGAGGCCTTGGCATCACGGGCTGGAAGGGACCCTGAGGATGGGTTAGCCCAACTCTGAGTCTGGGCAGGGAGTTCCCTGCGTGACATCGAGAAACGGACCTCTGCTCAGACACCTGCGATGACCCAAAGCTGCTAATTCAGCTGTGTGTGCTGTTTAATTGGTCTGCCCTCCCGTAACCACTGCCCACTGGTCAGAATAAACAAATCCTCTTCGAGGACGTGGCCCTTCCCGTAGCTGAGGGAAGTCACCATTTCTCCCTTATGTTTTTTCCTCTCCAGTCTAAACATCTATATAGTTCCCTCAGCTGATCATGTTATTTATTAAGGATCAATTCCCCGGGGCTGTCAACTCCTGTTTAAATATGGCCTCAACAGGGAAGAAAGGAATCAGCTGAGTCAAAAGCCCAGGGTTCGAATCCTGACTTTGTCACTTCTAACTAGTATGACCTTGGGCAATGCCCTTCACCTCTGTCCTTGTACAATGTGGGCTTTGGGCTAGCTGACCTCTGGGGTCCCGTCCAACTCTGAGGTATGTGATCTTAGACAAGATGACCTCTGAGGTGTCTTTCAGCCCGTAAGCCAGGAATCCGATGATCAGTCCTGTTTTTCTTTTCTCCAGGATGGCTTGCTGTGGAGAGCAGCCTCTGGGTGTGGAGAGTGCTTGGGTTTCTTGTCCAGCCCCTCAGGCCTCCTGACCTTGAGCAATTGGGGTACTTTTTCCCTGGGTGTCCCATTTTCTCAGCTGCCAGTGGCAGCCACCAGCGCTTCCCTTGACTGCCTCCCTAGGGGGCTGGAAGCCAGAATTAATTCCTGTTTTTAAAGGTCTGTTCCATCTTAGAAAACTGGACTAGTGAGTGGGAAGCTATTACTTTGATGATCATAGCGATGGTGATGGGGAGGGTTGGCCCCTCGCCAGCCGGAGTTCTCCGGTGGGGGCTCATTCTCGTGATAGATACCATGTGTGTCTTGGGAGCCTTAGCCATTTTTGCTCCTCATTCTCTCCCAAACACAGCCCTGCCTGCAGTTCCGTTAATGACGCAGCCTGTGTTTTCAGGGAGTGGCAAGGCTCCCCTGTCCCCAAGAAAGTGTGGTGTTGCTTGCTCCAGGGAACTCTGGCCGGCAGCAGCTAACCACACTGACCTGCAGCTGCTTCTCATATGGATTGGGCAGTCTTCTCCATCAGTGTGGTGACGGAGGGTGTGTGTGTGTGTGTGTGTGTGTGTGTGTGTGTGTGTGTAACTCCTAGAAGCCACGTCTAGGTCCTTGACCTCAGAGCACTTAGCGCAGGGACAAGGGTCAGGGCCCTGGAGCTGTCACTAACTAGCTGTGTGACTTTATACGAGTTACTTGACCTTTCTGAGCCTCAGTTTCCTCTCCTGTAAAATGGGGAACGGGTCCCATCTGACCACCTCCCTGAGGTGTTGTATTGATGGCACACTGCGCCTGCCAGGGGGGAGGGTCGGCAGTGGTGCTCCAGGTATGAGTGGCTCCAGCCCCAGCCTACCTTGGGGTGTAGAGCACAGGTGAGTTTTAAGCATGTTTGTCAGCACCAGAATGGGTGTAGAAGAGGAGGGGTCCACAAGCTTTTAGACTTAGCCCCAGGATGATGAAAGTTCAGCACGGAGTCCTCTCCCCTGGCCTATCTCCCTGCTGTCCCCCCTCCCCCTGCCCCTAAACACACATTTAATAGGAGCACAGTCAGTATTTTTCTAATGAATGCACTGGAGCATTGGCGGAGCTGACATGTCCTGTGACGTGGCCAAGCTCCCATTCACCCTGATGCGGTCAGTCCTTCCGATTTCTCCGTTATCCCTCCTCATCTCCCTCTTCTTTTCTGCCCAAGTTGACGTTCCTTTCTGTTAGCCTCACTTGGGCTGGATTTCCATCTGATCAGGGAGTGGTTCTCACCCGACACTCTGTTGTTCTCTTTCCCCCCTATTTCTGCCCTCCTGGTCTCAGATCTGAAGGCTGGGGACTTGGAGGAGGCTGGGGGAAAGGCGAGGGGGTATTTGGGAGGTTCAGAGAAGATGGTCTGTGCAGGTTCAGAGTTCTAGGCTCAGGAGAGACTTTAGAACATGAGAGAATGATGCACTGGAATGGGCTCTAGAGAGGTAATCTTTAGGCCAATCCCCCATTTCACAGGTGAGGAAACCAAGTCTCATGGAAGGACGATGCCCACACTTAAGAGAGCCAGTGGGTAGCAGAGCTGGGCTCCCCACTCCCCCAGCTTCCCGCTCCACTTCTCACTCCTGGACTGACCACACTGTTCCTCTGAAAGTCTTAAGTCCTTTCTGACCCTTCCTGACCTTAAAAATGACCCCCCCCCCTTTCCTTTCTTCCTCGAAAACTAGCATTCCTTGGGCCTGAGTGTCTGTGTCTGACCCCTCCTTCCCCAAACTTTACCTGCTCATCTCTCCCCCATCCCTGCTCTCCCCCCGCCCTACCCTATCCAGACATCTGGCTTTAGTGCCCGCCTTCTCTTCCCCCCACCCCAGGCTTGATTAACAGCCCCGGCACCACCATTAGCCAGAGAGCTGAATTGTGCTCTCCGCAGCAGTCTGCCTTGGATCCGATCCAAGCGGGGTTGAGGGACCAAAGCACGGAGAAGCCTCATTCCTTGCGAGGTGGCCTCCCCTAGATGGCGATTCCATCCCTGGCCCAGCCAGGAGTGTTTTGGAGGCATTTGGAATATGGGCAGAGGGGCTCGGGAGGGGCTTGGGGTCTGTTTAAATGCCTGCTGGGCCTTGGCTGTGGGCACTGAGCCAGGACCTGACTGGACGCTGGCAACTCCATTGCAAAGGGAGAGAAAGGCAGATCGAACCCTTGCGTTCTGCAGAGAAGCCAGCCGCCTCTGGGGGCGGGGGAAGCTTCCCTTTCTCCCCTCCCCAAGCTCCCATCTCATCGCATCTCGAGGCGTCTGGGGGCTCAGCAGATGCCCTTCTTTCGCAGGCCAGGCAGCCAGCCCCACCTTTTGCGCTGTGGTCAGAGAGGCCCTGGGGAAGCTTCCTTCCTCAGGAGCCCCCGCTCCCCAGGCACACGGCCTCGGAAGCCTCTTCGGTGGCGTAAATCACGTCCGTAAACCACTTTACAGCCTAATGCTGGATTGGCAGAATCCCCGCATCGTTCAGCCTGAATTGCGGCAGTAAGAGCTTGGAGAGAAGGCGGGGAGAGGAGCAGGCATGAAGAGGGGCAGCGGGGAGAAGCCAGGGTCTGGCAGAGCTGGACAGATATCCAGGGACTCGGAGGCCTTCAGAGATCAGCCAGTCCAGCCCCCTCATTTACGCATGGGGAAACTGAGGCAGGGGAGGGGAGGGAGCACTGGACTTGGAGTTAGATGCCCCAAATATAAATCCTCACTCCTAGACTGCTTAGCTGTGTGACCCTGGGGCAGGGGCCTCCCCTCTCTGAGCTGTTTCCTGGGCTCTAAAATAAGGAAGAAGGGATTTTCACTCCCTACCTTCTCCCAAGGTTGCCATAAAGAAAGTGCTCTGCAAACCTTAAGGCCCGGGGCAAAGGGGAGATGCTGTGAAATACTCATCTGTGAAATGGGAACAGTGATGGGGTGGTTCCCCACCTCCTGGGCTGTGGTGCTTTGTAGCCTTAAAGCGCTGAGGACATGGGGACCAGCCGTGCTCTTTGTGGCCCAGCTTCTGGCCTTTTACTTAGAACCTCACCGAACTGAGCTGGGGCCGCCCCCATCCTCTAGCCTACCCAGGGGAAAGAGCTTTCAGCAGATAGCTTAGGGGTCCCCACCCAGCCACCCAGGATTCTCCCCAGGCTCGTGCCCCAAGAAGCCAGAGCCGGCTGGGGCCAGTGTCTCCGGCCTCCCCAGCCAGGCCAGCCTTCCCTGGGGATCAGACCCAAAGAGGACACCCGATGGACCTTCTGGGCACCCTCCTCCTCGCCTCTCATTTCAGTCACTTCAGCTGTAGAGAAAGCGTTGGGGGCTTGCCCTCTCGTTGGGTGGATAAGAGGAGCCCAGCATCGTCTGACTGGGCAGATGGAATGTGGGTGTGAAATGGGCAGTGAAAAACCGTTGGATGGAGGGGCTGGTTTGTCTGACTCAGTCCAGGGGCAGGAGGGCACGGGGAAGGACTCCCAGGACGGGGACTCCGTGTGGCCTGCATGTCTGTCGTGATGAAGGAGACACACGCTCCAGGTCTCCAGACTGATTCTTCGCTCCTTTCTCCTAGCACGCTGTCATCCAAACCTGTGGTCTTCCAGTACCCACCCGGGTGGCCACCCGTCCAGGACCTGCCGCCATCCCTGCGGGCCCCACCTCCTGGGGGGTGGCCCCAGCAGCCCAGTGTCCAGTGGGGCTGAGAAGAAGGCTCCCCCGTCCCTGCCGCGGAAGCTCTTCTAGACGTCTGGGGGGGGGCCCCCCAGATCCACCCTGTTTCCTAGATTGCAATAAAAGGTGCCAGCCTGGCAAGGAGATGTGTCTGGCCTCGGGTTGTGCTGTCATTCGTAGGCGTCCACACTGACAGTTAAATGACCCTTCTTTTGCCCTCCTGAGGCCCTCCGGAGCTGGGGTTCAGTGCCTGCTCATCATCCATTCAGTGCAGAAAGAACACTGGATGGGGTCTGGGTTCTAATCCTGGTCTGTTGTTCCCTGAGCCTGGGGGACCTTGGGCAGGTGACCCAAATGGGGGGCTCTCAGGATCTCGGGTGGACCAGAAGGTCGCTGCTACGCTCTTTTTCAGCTCTGAGTCTATAGTCGCAAATGCCTCTGTGGGCAAAGCACATGTCTGTCGTAGAATGTGTGTGTCCCACGTGCCCTGGGCACCTCCCGAAGGAGGGGAAGGTGCCATCTTTGCCCTTGAGAGTCAGGCACTGCTGAGGCAAGCTTCTTGTACGTGAACCAGTTAAAGATGAAAGGCCGGTTGTGTTTGATCTGGTGCCCAGGTGAGTGGTACAGTCAGCGAGTGCTGTGGGCAGTCTGAACAGGGAGAGACAGAGGGGACACCCCGCTGGGGAACCCAAGGGGGCACCCTTTGGGGGCAGGGCCTGCCTCTGCTGCCAGGGGTCCCGGGTGAGGGGCAGGAGCAGTGTGTTCTGGGGCCAACGATGAAAGAAAGCGTGGCTTCCCTACAGCCCAGCAGAACCTGAAAAGGAGTGGAGGTGAGAGAGGACCCCTCACTCTCCCCATCAACCCCCAATTCAAGACTAAATGGTCTGGGGTCCCTTCAACTCAAAAGAAAATTCCCTGATTCTTTTCTGTCTCCTTGTCTCCCTTCACTACCTGGGATGATTATCCTGGGACATTTCCCACGGACAGCTGTGGGGGCTGATAGGAGCCTAGATAACCTGGCAAGGATCTCACGCCTCCGGTGCTGGGGGTACAGGGCTTATACACAATGAACTGGGCAAGAGGCAATCTCTGCAGTGCTGCAGCTGAGGGTCTCATTCTCATACACAGCAGGGACCCCCAGCCCTTCAGGAATGGGGCTGAGGGCTCTCACTCATGCACAGCAGGGACCCCACCCCTTCAGGAATGGGGCTGAGGGCTCTCACTCATGCACAGCAAGGACCCCCAGCCCTGTGGGGTTGAGGGCTCTCACTTATACAGAGCAGGGCCCCTCACCCCTACAAGGTTGGGGCTGAGAGCTCTCTCATATGCACAGCAGTGACTGTACCCCTGTGGTTCTGAAACCAAGAATACACATACACACACACACACACAAAACTAAGCCAGGTCCTCATCTCCCCTTTCTCCACTCTTCTCCCCAGAATCATCAGCTGGAACAACCTTAATCAAAGTTCTACTCATTCCTGGTTTCAGAGAAAAGAAATGAAATCCATTCACGTTCCACTCCTGCTGTCCCCAGCTCTCGCTAGCAAGGCCCAGCAGAGGGGATAGGAGGTGGGGGATGGGAGATGCTGGGGCCCTGGGAAGGAAGAGAGGGAAGGTGAAGGATGGGATGGCCTCCAAAACCCTCTCCTCTGACTGCTTCAGTGCTCATGAGTCCTCATCTACCTGGCTTCCCCGCTGGTGGGCAATTGGGAACAGAGGGGGGAAAAAAAGACAGGGGGAAAAAAAGAAAACACAACCAAAACCTTGAATCACATAGCTCCATACAGGTTAGGCTGGCTCTCAGTCAGATTACTAAGGCTTCAGGGTTTGTCTTTGTCTTTCCATCAAAAGAGGTAACTAGCCATTCTTGTGCCTATACTGGGCTGGGGCTCACCTGGAGCTGCACCCCTCCTCACTGGGAGTGTAGGGCAGGAGAGAAAGCTCATCACAAATGGATTGATCTCTTAAATTTTCTCCCCATGGTCCAAGAAAGAGAGGAAGTGAGGCAGGGGTAGCCCTCCAAAACTTTTGCCCTAGGACAGAGCCCTTGTGGCCCCACCCTAGGTGCTGCTCCATTCAGATCAACTTGTTCTTTAGACCTCTTTCAGTCCTCCCTCCTTAGGTGCTCAGGGCTCTCGCAGAGACAGTGTAGTACAGTGGATAGGGCCTTCCTGGGTCCGAGTCCTTGTGGCACTATTTGCTGACTCACTGGGAACATTATTTCCTCACCTCAGAATTGTAAAATAACTCAGTGATGGCTAAGGTCCCTTCCAGCTCTAAATCCTGTCATCTCCTGTGACTCCCCCCTGAAGTTGTAAACGTGGCCTCACAGAAGCAGCTGCGGGCGTCCCTGCTCCCGAGGGTATGTGTGTTTGCAGAGGAGGTCCGAGAGAGGCTAGGCCTCCCAAGGGTTAGAATTTCAGCGATCACTATGGATGATGTTTGGGGGGCTTGCTAGCGTTTTCTGTCCAGCCCTAGGTAGGAAGATCCTGGGATTTCTATAGCTTTGCATGCAGGCTCTTGGCCGGGCCTCACAACAGCCCAGTGAGGAGCAGGGAGCTCTTGTGATCCTTATCCCTGTTGTGCAGATGAGGAAGCTGAGGCTTAGTGTCGAAGGTAGAATTAGAACCCAAGTCTTCCACACTGCCTCCAAATCAAGCCTTCCATTCATTACGCCATGCTGAACAGGGCAGAGCGCTAGACGAGGCTTTCAGTGCAGGGGGTGATAGGCAGCAGAGCCTCCAACTCTCAGCCTCCTTCTGCCTCCCGAGCTGCCAGGGCGTGCCGAGAGAGCCAGCCATGCTTGTCTGCTGAGTGATTAGGGTTCGGACAACGTCCCTCTGCGCCCTGCGAGCGTCCCCCTCAGCGTTGGGCTGTGGGTCCTTTGGCCAGCTCTAGGAAGCGTCTCTCAGGAGGGCCTGGGTGTGGGAGGGGGCTGGGAAGGGGAAGCTAAAGCTGCACCCGTCATTCCTCGGGCCAAAGGATGCCTTGCTCTTCAGAAGAGGGAGCCGCGGCAGGATTTCCTTCAAGAGTTTCTGTCTTAAGGGGTTTGAGTCATACTCTTCACGTTTGCTGAATTCTGCTGTCCTGGCCGGTTTCCTGCCCCACTGAGTCACATCTTCTTCACCTCCCTAGGATGGACGCTCTTTCTCTTAATGAGAGCTCTCCTAGGCAGCTAGGAGGTGCCACCGTGAATGGACCACTGGGCCTGGAGTCAGGAAGACCTGAGTGCAAATCTATCCCCCACAATTATCAGCTGTGTGACCCTGTGCAAGTCCCTTCACCTCTGTAAAATGGAGATAATAACAGCACCTACCTCCCAAGTTGTTGAGCATTGAGTGAGTAATATTGGTGAAGTGCTCAGAAGACTAAAGAAATGCCCACTCTTATCTTAATGCAGCCAGAAACTGGCTAGCTTGGGGTGGCTGCCCCAGATGACTCCTTCGGAGTCTGAGTACGTGTTGAAGATCCTTCTCAAACAAGCTCCTAGGGAGTAGCCCTCTACCCCGTTCTAAGTGATTTTTTGTTGTTAAGTTGTCACAACTCTTTATGACTCCACTTGGGGTTGGCTTGGAGTGGTTTGCCGTTTCCTTCTCCAGCTCATTTTGCAGATGAGGAAACTGAGGCACATGGGGTGAAGAGACTTGCCCAGGGTCACACAGCTGGTGTCTGAGGCTGGATTTGAACTCGTGAAGGTGAGTCCAGGCCCAGAGCTCTATCCTGGCTGCCCCTTCTAAGTGATTAATGATTTTTTAAAATCCAAGTATGAGAAAACATTTACCTCTACTGGATTTTGTCCCATTAGATTCGGCCCAGTGTTCTATCAAGCTCTTCTCCAGGGCATTGGTGATCTGTCCCAGCTCCCCCACCTCAAATTTGTTCAGCATGCCACCAGCAAGTTTCCAATTAAACAGCATATGGCCAAGGACAGATTCCTAGGGCCCTCCATCAGAGACCTTCAAGATTGACATCCTATGATTAATGCTATCCCCAGTGCCTAGCCCAGTGCCTGACACAGTGGGTGCTTCATAAATGCTTGTCAACGAATTGATTTGGGTTCAACCATTCAACGAATCCCAAAATCTACATCACTCTACCGGCCCACCTCCCTCCTTTTTGTCTGCAGGAATATTAGGAGAAATAGCGTCAAGATCTTTGCTCAAATCAAGGCACGCGGACTATAGCATTCTCATCTGGTCTAGTCAGAAAAGGAGATGAGATTGGCTTGGGTGAAACCCTGCTGGCTCTTTGTGCTAACTGCTGCCTCTTTTCTAAATGTTCACTAACCATCCCTTTACTATTGTGGTTGAAAGTTTTGTCAGAAATTGAAGTCAAGCTGTCTGGACTACGTGACTGTCAGACTCCACTCTATTCCCTTTTTGAAAACCAGGGCAGCATTGTCATCCCTTTAGCTCACACTTTGCCCAGCCCTAATGCCCTGCCTGGACCAGGAGGCAGCCTGGCTTCAGGCCTCCTCTTATCCCTGCTTTGCCGGGGGAGGGGTCCTTTGTCCTTTCTGGGCCTTGTTCTCCCAGTTTGAGGACTGAGATCAGTGTTGCCTTCCCCCACCCTCAGGAAGGCCCGGCTGGTGTGGCAGGTGGGGAGGGCTGATACAGGGAAGGAAGTCTCAGTTTCTGGGGGATGAGCGCTGCCCGTTTGTGCCAGCTTGATGCAGCAGCTGAGTGAACTTGTTTGTCACTGCAGACGTCCTGAGCTGGCATGCCTTGGCTCCTGCCCAGCTTTTCAAGGAGATCTGGGCCTGGGGGGCAGCTCTTTGGAGGGTCCCCACTTCAAAATTCCACAAGCGAGAATAGGAGCCTCTGGGTCAAGCCCCTTCCTGGCCAGCCTTCCTTTTTAGCTCCTCTCTCCTCTTTCCTCTCATTCTTGCTCCTTCTTTCTCACTCCTGCCCACCATTCCTCTTCTTCCCCACTCATCTCTCTCTGTCCCTTTCCCTCTCCTCATCCCTTCTTCCTTCTCTCTCCCTCTCCTGCTGTCTTTCTCTCTCTTTATCTTCTCTTTCTCCCTCTCCCTCCCACCTCCTTCCCTCTCTGTCCCTCCTGCCTTCTTCTCCTCTCTGCCCTCTCTCCCTTTTCCTTCCTTCCCTGCCTCTGCAGGCTTTCCTTCTCTCTTTCTGTCCCCCCCTCCCCCTCTTGCTCTCCAGCTCTCATCCTTGTCTCCAGTGACAGGGTTTGATTTACTCCACACTTATTTTTCCCTGGCACTGACAGAATGGGCCAGGTGCCAAGGGTTTCCATCTCTGCTCTCCTGGTGTCTGGGCTCCCACTGGCCCCACAGGCTGGGGGAATCCTGGTCACACGTCTCTGCTGGAAGAATGTGTGTGTGTGGGGGGGTGAGTGTGTGTGAGAGTGTGAGTGTGTGTGTATGTGAGAGTGTGAGTGTGTGGAGCGTGTGTGTGTGTGTGTGTGTGTGTGTGTGTGTGTGTGTGTGAGTGTGAGTGTGGGGGGGGTAGGTAGGACCAGCTCCCTCTCCAGCCTGAAATGGAGCTCCTGGGCCCAAGAACTCTTTCTCCGCTCCCTCCCCAGAGCATACCAGCCTACACAATTTTAACTGCCTCTCTTCCTTCCACCTGGGCACATTCTCCTTACAAGGCTCAGCTTAGGTGCCCCTCCTCCCTTTTGGCTCACCTGAGAAGCCCTGCTCTGACTTCTGTATGCCTGCAACTCCCCCACCCTCACCTGGCCTCTCCTGCTTCATGTGTGTGCTCTGGGCTCCAGCTAGAGTAGCAGCTCCCTGAGGGCCCAGGCTCATCTCTTCCTCCCACCTCAGGAAGCCCCCAAAGCCCCCCTCTCTGACTGCCAGTCTCTGAGGAGAGGTGGTATTGGCATTCAATGCCCAGCAGACCGGGCTCCATGAGCAGGCTGGCCAGAGAGGGCCTTTGGCGACCATGGCACCTTCTCCCCTCCTAGGGTTGCTCTACCTTTTCCCAGCGCAAGCTTTAGGAGGAGCATCTCCTGGGCTTCCTGAAGATATTTCTGGGCCATGGTGAAGAGACCTTAGAAAGGGGCATTTGAGATACTATTTTGCTTTACAAAGAAGAAAAATGAGACTCCGAAAGGCGCACATTGATGTAGTGAGAAGGCAGGTTTCTTAGCTCTCCATCTAGGACACCTTCCATTACACCAGGTCCCTTTCTGTCGACACTACTCACGTGGCAAGGTAATTGTTATTCTTCTGTGGGTTTGATCCTTAGTTTCTTACTTGGCTACGAGCATCCTGAGAGCAGGGACCTGGCTCGCCGAGATTTCTCTTTCTCTCCCGTAGGAAACCGCAGTACATGCCCATGGCAGGCCCTAACAGTGCATGGGTGTGAGTTAGCTGGGAGGATGGCCCATTAGAACCAGTGTGCCTGGGCCTCACAAGCAGCTGGCACTGAGCAGGGCCAGCCAGGGCAGGCCATAGCAGTGGGGACTCTTCTGGGAACTGGTGTAGTGGTAAGAGTCTAACCTCTTAAGTTTTAGGGCCACTTCAGTCACTCGCAGAATGGACGTCCAGTCAGTATATCCAAAACAGAGCTCATGATCTTCCTCCCTAAATCCTCCCCCCCCCCTTGAGGGCACCACCATCCTCCCAGTCCCTCAGGCTCCCAACCTAGGGGTCATCTTGGACTTCTTGCTATCTCTCACCCCCCAGATTCAATATGGCGCCATGGCCTGTCGATTTCATTCTCCCTTCTCTCCCCTGACACTTGACACCACTCCAGTCAGGCCCTCCGTACCTTGTGCCCCACTGGTGGGCCTGCCTGCCTCAAGTGTCCCCCCACTCCAATCCATCCTCCATTCAGACACCAACGTGACTTTCCTAAACCAAAGGTCTAATCAGGTCGCCTCCTGCTCAGTAAACTGCCGTGGTTCCCTATAACCTCCAGGAGCAAATACAGAATGCTCTGTTTGACATTCAAAGCCCTTCATGACTTAGTCCCCTCTTACCTTCCCAGTCTTCTCACACCTCACTTCTCTATCAGGTCCTCTTGCCCCCGGTGACATTGACCTGGCTGTTCCACAAGCAGGACCCTCCACCTCTCTGCTCCGGACCATCCCTGCGTGTCTGGAATGCTCTCCCTCCTGTTCTCAATCTCCCGTCTTGGCTAAAATCTCACCTTCTAATTCTTAAGGCTGGTGCTGCCTTAAGGCTGTGCCTGTCTTCTCCCAGTATTGTCTACAGCTTGTTTGCACGTGGTCATTTGCCTGTTGTCTCCCCTGTGACTGGGAGCTCCTTGAAGGCAAGGACTGTCTTTTGTCTTTCTTTGTATCCTTGGTGCTTAGTATAGGGCCTGGCACACAGCAGGTGCTTAATAAATGCTTACTGACTGCCTGACTGGCCGAGAGACCTTGGGTAAAGTAGCTTCCCCAATCTGGCCCATTTACTCTTTTATAAAATGAAGTAATTGTGCTAAATCACAGCATCATAGTGGGAGACCTCAGAGTACGACATGCTGAACTTGTCTGGAGTCACATGACTGGTAAGTATTTGAGGCTGGATTTGAACTCAGGCCATCCTGACTCCAAGACTCACCCTCTGTCCGTCAAGGCCGCCTGGCAGCCTAGCTGGTCTTCGTGGGGTGTGATCTCAAGCCTCCTTACTGCCCCGCTGTCTTTCTTTGAATCCTCTTCAATTTACCAATGTCCTTCCCGAAATATGGCACCCAGAGCTAAATGGTGGTTGTTGCTCCATCGTGTCTGACTCTCCATGACCCCATTAGGGATTTTCTTGGCAGAAATCCTGCTGTGGTTTGCCATTTCTTTCCCTAGCTCATTTTACCAATGAGGGAACTGAGATAAACAGAGTTAAGTGACTTTCCCCGGGTCACCCAGTTAGGAAGTGTCTGAGGCTGGATTTGAACTCTGGTCTTCCTGACTCCAGGCCCAGAGCGCTATCCACTGTGGTGCCACCTAGCCGCCCCCAGAAATAAACAACATACCCCAGATGTGGACTGACCAGAGAACGGCAGGTGTCTCACCTCCCTGGGTCTGGACTAGAGACAGAGGCCGCTCTTAACGTAGCCAGTGATTGGATCAGGTTTCTTGGCACCATTGTTATCACGCCATTGAGCCTGTAGTCAACTAAATCCCCCACATCTTCAAGTCAACTTCTTTCCAGCCATGCCTCTGCCATCTTGTAACTGGGAAGTTGTAAAAAATTCAACTATGAGACTTTACCTTTGTCCCTTTTAACTTTAATCTACTTGGGTTTGGCCCAGTGTTTTACCCTATCAAAACCTTTTCGGATCTGGGCTCAGCTGTCTGACGCATCCTTAATCCCTTCAAGTCTTATGCCATCTGTAAATATGACATGTAGGCCATCTCAGGATTTAGCCAAGACACTGGTAAAAAAAATGTGCAACGGTGTGTGGCCAGGGGCAGATCCCTGGGGCACTCCGCTAGAGACCTCAAAAAAGTGAACGGGCAACTTTGGCTGTTTAACACAGCCCCTGGGTTCTTCTCTTCTTAGAATGTTTTTAAATACATAGGATTACAAAGGGAGCTAATTACCTTAAAATAGAATTATCAAAGTATAAAATGATCAAAATACAAAATATAAAATATGAAAACAAAACCCGTTCAGAGACCCCAAGTTAAGAACTGATGAGGTGAAGCCATTTTCACTGCAAGACTTCAGCAAACATATTCGACCTAGCCCTTGTTCGATGTGCTCTGTTCCCGACCAAGGGCCCAGAAATCCAAGACTTGCGCTCAGACGCTTGCATCCTACCCGGCTGTCCGTCTGCCTGATCTGCCTTTCTCATCCAAAGACCCTGCCTTCCACGGAGAGCAAGGAGGAATCCGTCCCCCGTGGCCCTCTTGCTGGGGTCTGCAGTCCTTGGCAAAGCTTTCTAGGTTCCTTCTGGCAGTGGGTGGTGGGCAGCAGGTTTGAGAGATAACCCACAAGCCAGGGGACCTTTCTTGAGAATGCCAGGGAGACAGGACACCTGCTCTGGGAGTCACTAGCCAACCAGCCAGTCAGTCCTCGGGCCTTACCTAAGTGGGACCGAGGTGTCTCTCTGTCCTCTGACCTCTCACCAAAGGGCAGATCATCAAGGCAAATCTTCCCTCCTCCTCGGACAAATGACAGTTCCCCTCCCCAGAGGTTCTGTCCTACCATTGAGTAGTAGCTAGAGCTCTTGAATGGGAGTCAGGAAGACCTGGGTTCTAATCTGCCCTCAGTTGCTTCCTAGCCATATGACCTTGGGCAAGTCACTTTCCTGTCTCTGGGACTCAGTTTCTTCTGTAAAACGAGGGGCTTGGAACTGGTGGCCCCTGAGGCCCCTTCCTGGTTTAGACCTCTAGTTCCCTCTAGAGGTGTGTGATTTCATACCTCCTGTGAGATGACTTTGGACTGTGTCTTTAATGGGGGAGAGGATCTCTGAAGCCCCAAGGTTCTTTGGCCCAGTCCTGGCCCAGCTGGAAGCTCTGGATTGTTTCCTAACCACAGGGCAGGATTCGGGGGCCCATCCTGCAGGCCACAGAAATGCTGTGATAGCCATGGAGAAAGGAAGGGGATGGCAGAAGTCCTGCCTCCCCCAAGGCCTCTGGTTTAGCACCCCTCCCATTAGACTGCCCGCTGTCTGTCCCCTGCCTCCTCTCTCTGAGGGGCTTCCTCCTGGGCAGTCTTGGGCCCCTGGTGCAGGCTGCCTGGGAGGAGGGGAGAGGGTGGCACGATCGATTGACCCCCTGTGAGTTGAAGTGAAATGAAGACCAATATTTGCCCCCAAGCAAATAAATCCTGGTATCGACCTGGTGCTAAACCCAGGCTTGGCCAATGTGTCCACGCCACTAGCAAGGAGAGAGGCTAAGCCTGCTGGGGCCCTTCCTGGAGCTAACAGACCCAAGTCTAAGGCCCCCGAGGCCCGGCGGAGATCTCGATGGACGTCTCTGATGGACACCTCTGACCTGCTGGTGGGGCTGCAAAGATTGGGGTGGGGCGCTGCTGGGGAAATGCTCAGGAAGGCAGGCCTGGGAAGGCACAAAGGATGATCATCTCCTTATCTCTGGGGCTACTGAACCCATATATAAATTCCATCTTTATTGAGATTGAACACCCCCAAATGGACGGGAACAAGGTGATGCTACATACAGGCTAGAGAACCAGCAATCACATCAGGAAACAGACATACAGAAGGGGTAGGGACAAGACAGGGGAAGGGGGGTGGGTACAGGCATGGGGGGCCTCTCCCAGAATCCCCCCAGCCTCAAAGGCTTGCCCTCTTCCCTGGAGGTGGAACGGAGTAGAAGACTGGCTTCAGGGCCCTCCTGGTGGTCAGGCCTGACCCCGTTCAGCCTCTGCGGTACAGGGCCCGACGCCTCCCCCCATCACGTCCATTCCCCGGGAGGGTCCAGCTGCCCAGATGCCTTCTCTGAGCCCTCTGCTATGGAGGGCTTGGGAGGAGGACCGTGGTCTCTGCTCCACAGGCCAGGGTGAAGATCTGCCTCGAGTTCTCATCCTTGCTCCATGCATGGCCCACGGGTTAAAGGAGGGGAGGGGAAGGGGGCTTGTATTGCTTCACAGATGGTTTTGGTGTTTTCTTTTTATCATAAATAGATATATATATATATAGAGAGAGAGAGATTATATTTTATGGTAGAATATATCCTATCGCACACAGGATTGCATCACTCAGAGTTACACCGGGGAGGGCCCCCCCCATGCACTGGCATGCGCTGGGCACCACAGCCATGCGTGGTGGGCTGGGCTGGGCCGGGCCCCCGGGGCCAGGGCCACATGCTCTGGCCAGCCGTGGCCCCGGACAGCCCCCAGCACCATCCTGTTCCTGGGGCCTGGCAGGAGGCCCCAGCCACTGTGAGGCTGGCTCGGTGGGGGGTGGGAGTGTGGCAAGGGCAGCCACACCATTCCCAGCCCCCCACCTGTCAGCTACTTCATGCCGCTCCGCAGGACCTGATTGGCCGCGATCAACATGACGCTAATGATGAAGGCGATGGCGAAGGCGCAGATGAGGCTCTTGCGAACACACGTCTGGCGGATCTGCTGGTTGGAGCAGGCTGCGGGCGGGGCCGAGTGATGACAGGAGATGGTGAGGTAAGAAGAAGAACAGAACATTAGGGACAAAAAATCAGACACGGGGTGTCTGTCCCCTGGCCATCCTCCGGGGACAGCATCTTTCTCCCAACCCCCCAACAAGGACTTGGTCTCTGAGCGGGGGTCACTTTGTGTCTTGGGGCCTTGCTCCTGGCCCGTTTCCTTTGCTAGGAGCTGCGGGGGGGGGGGGTGCTCTGGACATCCTTGAGGGCCGCCCACGGTGAGTGGGCGGTTCCAGGCACTCTCAGGGCAGCCCCAGGGCCTGGCCCAGATACGGGGGACACTCACTCTCCACATCGACTGGACACTCCTCAGGAGTGCCCAGGTGACTCTCCTCCTCCGTCATGATGATGTTTTCAATGTCCTTCATGGAAAGATGCTCACAAAAGGTGTCATAGAGCAGACGCTTCAGTTCGTCCACCGTCAGCTTCTGCATATCGCACTGTGGGGCCAGGTCGCGGGTCAGCCCAGCAAGCCCGCCTGCTGGCTGGCCAAAGCCCTTCTGGGCGATGGAAGAAGGGCAGGGTCACGCTCTCCATGGGTTTCCCCAGGAGGAGCTGGTCTGTCACACCAACCTATGTCCCCCCAAGGACACTCGTCATTTGTAGGAGTCTTGTGGGCATCTCATGCCTTTGGAGACGTGGAGCCTGTGAAGCTTTGTACAAGCTAGACCCACTTCCCTCAGCTGGGCAGGCACAGGGTTCAGGGTCTCAGGGCCTGGATATGCTTGCCCCCACCCAAAAGGTCAACAAGGGGAGGGGAGCTGGAGGATGGTCCTAGGCCTCCTCCGTCCCCTGGCTCTGGACCACAAGGGCTGCCTATACCAGGCTCGACATCCCAGCTGAGCTCTGGGAGTTACTGTGTGAATAGCCCTATTTGACCATTGACACTTCGCAAGGCCACTCACTGAGCCTCTCAGTTACCTCTGACTCCCAGCTTCTCAAGTCCAGCTCAGACCCTGATCCAGACATCACTAAGCCTGCAGGTACCTGACCCCTTATGGGGTGTCTCCTCCCCACAGGCCTGTGGGGCAGGGGAAGGTGGGGAGCTCCTACCTTCCAAAATACGGTGTCAAAGTCAGTCCCGTGGAACTTTTCAGGAATCCCTGAGGTGGACAGCTTGGGCCCCAGTAACGTCACAAACTCTTCAAAGTCCACTTGACCATCACCTAACCGTTGCACAGAGAGGGAGTGAGCCTGGGCCTGAGGGGGGGAGTCATGAACGGGAGGTGGGTGCCAGGAGAGCTGGGTTCTATCTTGCCTGTCAGCCTTGGACAAGTGGCTTCCCTTCTCTAGAGCCCAGTGTCTGCCATCTATAAAATGGGCATATGGAATACCACCAGATCGCTTCTGGCATCAAATGAGATAACAGATGTGATTTTAAAACTGTGAATTTAAAACTTTGGAAAAGGCAGAGATTTGGATGTGTGGCGTTGTACACAGTAGGGGCCCAATGTTTGTTGAATGGATGGATAGATGGATGGATGAATGGGTGGATGGATGGTTGGATGGGTGGGTGAGTGGGTGGATAGATGAATAAATGGATGAATGGATGGGTGAGTGAATAGATAGAGGGATGGAGGGAGGAAGAGAGGGATAGAGGGAGGTCTGGAGTCAGCTATACTGACTTTAACATACTAGAGACTTAAGTTTGTCGGCCACATGAAGCCCTGTTCAGCAGGAGTCTACTTCCCTCCTAATTCCACTATCAGTTTATCTACTTTGCAGATTTTCTAGTGTTATATGTCAGTCACCAAGCATTTATTAAATGCTTACTGCATGCCAGCCACTGTGCTAAGCTCTAGGGCTATAAATGCAAGCCAAAAGAAAGCCAGTTCCTGCCCTCAGGGAGTTTCCGTTCTAATGGAGAAGACAATGGCAGAAAGGGAAACTGGCTTGGTGGTGAATCCAGGAGAGTGAGAAGCCGAGCTAGAGCTGGAGGCCCTGGGGAGGTCTCACCAACAGGAGACGCACCCCAAGTCACCCAAAGGTGTCTGACCCTTATTATGGTCTCCTGACTCGGTGCTCCCCATGCCTGGAATGCTGTCCTTCCTCAACCCAACCTCTTAAGGATCCCTAGCTCCCTTCAAAGCTCCGCTCAAGCCGCTTCCTCCAGGATGTCTTCCCTGATTCTCACCTTCCCACCTAGGGTCTCCCTTCTACCAAGTATACCCACTTTCAATATTTACTATTTGTGTACCTGTTGAAGACTTTAAAAATTTACTTTTAATTCTTATTAGTGCATACATATTGTTCCTGAAAAATAGAATGTAAACTCCTCAAGGGCAGGCATCATTGCCTTTCTGCTCTTGTATCCCAATCACCTAGTATAGTGCTTAGCACATGCCCAACTCTTTGTGACCCCACTGAAGTCTTGGCAAAGATACTGCCGTAGTTTGCCTTTTCCCCCTCATTTTTACAGATGAGGAAACTGAGGCAAACAGGGTGAAGTGACTTGGCCAGGGTCACACAGCTAGTAAATGTCTGAGGCTAGATTTGAACACGGATCTTCCTGATTCTAGGCCTGGCTCTATCCACTGCGCCACCTCCCTGCACATAGTAAGTGTTTAATAAATGTTTGTTGATTGGTTAATTGATTGCTATATTCACCATCTTAAAGAGCAAAACCGGAGTTTGCTCTGAGTTTCCGCTGAGGTCACAATTGGCTCTCCCATTTATTGTGAGACCTTGGGCATGGGATCCGATCACCTCTAAGGTCATCTCTAAGGCCAGCTTTGAGGGCCATAGTCCTCCACCACCCCTGACGCAGCCGACTGATGGCCGCTCGATTGACCACCAAGGAGAGGGAGAGGAGAGCCAGAACTGGTCCCAGATGCGAGCTTGGGGGACATTAGTGAGAGCCAGAAGAATGAGGCCAGGGCTTCGAGTGGACAAAGGGGCGGGGCGGGGGTGCCAAGTGGGCGGGCTTCCCGGGGGAGGCGTCACGGAGCCCCTGCTGGGGACGGGTGTTGGGGAGCCCTTGGAGGTCCTACTACGGGGAGGTGGAAGACGGGGCCTGCACAGGACACAAGTCGGTTTATCTGTGGTCAGCCCTGAGCTGGGGATGTTGGGGCTCCAGGGACTAAATGGGCCAGAAAGGCCCGGAAGATCTAGACAAGTGAGGAGAGAAGGGAGAGCTGGGTAGAACGGGAGCTCCCTGAGGGCAGGGGCCCGCTTGTCTTGTTTCTTGTCTGTGCCTCAGTAGGAGGAACCTAGTAAATGCTTGGGGAATGACTGAGGGTCGGAGATTTAGAGCTGGAGGGACCTTTGCATTTTACAAAAGAGGAAACCGAGGCCCGGGAAGAGGAAGGAATCAGCCAGTGGTCACACAGCCAGAGAGAGTCAAAACCCAGGTCCTCCAGCTGTCAGTGCAGCACTGCCCAGAACACTCCCCAGGCAGCTCAGACAAGGAAACTAAACCTGCGAGAAGTCGGGGAGATGGACCCATGACTCCCAGGGGCTCCTCCTGCCCCACCGTCCTGCTTCACTCCTGGTCTATTACTTCTGCTGCTCTTCAGCCAGGTAGCAGCCTCAAGCTGCCCGGTCCCGTCAGTCTGGCTCGTCCTTCTTTCTTCCTTTTTCATTCCTTCCTTCTTTCTCTCCTTCCTCCCTGTTTTCCCCCTCCCCCCTTTCCTCCTTCCTCTCTCCCTCCTTTCCTTCCTCCCTCCTTCCCTTCCTTTCTCCCTCTCTCTTTCCCTCCTTTCTTCCCTCCCTCTCTTCCTTCTCTCCCATCTAGATTCTGCTCTCCTGGCCCCATCCACCTGCCCAGTGCCCTGCACATGTTCTTTAGTGTGCCAAATCCATCCTCCCCCCTCCCGACACTTCTCCCCCCACCCCCTGGCCCCCCAGGCCCCTGATGGACAGCAGGGTGATCATCTCTGATCATCTCCTTACCAGGGCTGCCTGGGGCACAGTGTAACCTTCCTTGTGCCAGGGGGCTCCTCAGCAAACAGCAGGGAGGAGGCTGAGTTAATGAGGAGGCATATTAATGAGCCCTGGTGGGCCAGCCGGGGCCAGGCCAGACGCCCTACCACTTAATTACCATATGCTGCCTTCCTCAGCTGGCCTGTGTGTGGGAGCTGCTCTGGGCAGCCTCAGAGGACAGGGCAGAGAGAGGGGGGTGAAGGGGAGGAGAAGAGAAGGAGATGGAGGCACGCAGGGAAGGAGGAGGTGAGGGAGCCATCAGTGAATGGCGGATGGGATTGCCAGATGGGCCAAAGACTGGGCTCTGTGTCTGAGCAGAGTCCTGGGGCACCTCAGGTCATCGGGGGTCAGCCATTGACCACCCACTGCCCGAGAGATGGGACAACAGCCAGAACCACCTGGTGAGAGAAAGTGTGTACAAGGAGCCTCAGTTTCCTCATCAGTAAAATGGAGGTAAACATACTCACTACCTCACACAGGGTCACGAGGCTCAAATGAGATAAAGTCCATAAAACACTCTGTGAGCCAGAAATCAATGTGTAAATGTGCATTATTATAATTAACCTCTTGGTGCCTCAGTTTCCTCATCTGCAAAATGGGGTTAATTATATTTGCATCTCTTCCCTCAGAGGGCCCCTTGAAAAGAACAAAGGAGACAAGGCATATGTTGAGCTTTGTGTGACAGACCGCATCAAAGCCCTGGGCATTCTTTAACCTCTCCGTGCCTCAGTTTCCTCACTTCAGTTTCCATTGCAATAGAAAGAGCCGATGACCCAGGAGTTAGGAGACTTGTTCTGCTCTCGAACTGACTTGCTGTTTAACCCTAGGCACACCCCTTCCCTGGGCCTCAGTTTTCTTATCTGTAAAATGGGGGTAGTCATACTCACACACACATCCCTCAGGTTACAGGGTAGTTGTCAGAAAAGGGCTTTACAAACCTTCTGGGGCTGTAGAAGTGGGAGCTATTGTCATTACTTACACCAGCTCAGCAGAAGTGAGCCTCACTGGCTAGCTCTTCCACTCCCCTTCATTTTCACATATAATATAAACCAAGGCTCAGAGACTTGCCCAAGGTCACACAGCTAGTAAGCATCAAAGCCAGGATTTGAACCCAGGTGCTCCGGCATGCTTGGTGACCCTCAGAACATCCCACCGAGGTGGGGAGGGCAAGGCTTTATCAGAGGAGTAGACCGAGGCCCAGGGAACAGGACCCAGGGGTCCTGATGCCACATCCAGGGCTCTCTGCCACACCCTGACATCTCTTCTAGGAGCAGAGGATTGTAGGACTGAGAATGGGGAGGAGCCTTGGGAGTCATCTGCGGCAACTGCTTCATTTTACAAAGGAAGGAAATGACTTACCCAAGGTCACACATTGTCAGGGGCACTGGGGTGAGGGCAGAGGGAAACTCAGAGGTCCACCCTTGTTCATTGAAGACAAGAGGTAGGCCAGGGAAACGGGAAGGAGAGAAATAAGTGGGGGCTCCTCGGAGGCCCAGCCTGGCATTGGTGGGGCGTATTTCCTGCCAGGAGCTCCCCTTACCTAGGTCTGCCTGGAAGGAGGTCTGGAAGGGGCAGTGTGGGGGAGGGATGTCCAGGGCTAGGGCCAGGACAATGACAAGGTGAGGATGGAGGGGAGAACACTGGAGGGGGAAGGGGCATAGCCCTGGATGGGAGGATGGGACCTAAGAGGGATGAACAGAGCGGAAAGGAGATAGAGGGAAAGGAAGAGGAAGCATGAGAAAGTTAGCAGATAATAATGAGAAATGCAGGAAGTGACTGAGCCAGGGTCATATGCATAGTGAGCTCAGAGTAGGAATAGGACACTTGGTCTCCTGGCCCCCTGGCTGGCACTCTTTCCACCAAGGAGCAGAGACAGAAAGAAAGGGGAGACTCAGGTGGATGGGAAGTGGCTGGGAAGGCTCGGCCTCCCTGGGGGTGGGGGGGCAGGCTGGGGGCCAAGGCTCTGGGGAGGGGGTTACCGTCCATGTCCAGCCGCTGAATGATGACCTCCAGTTCCACCTCATTGGGCATGTAACCCAGAGAGCGCATGGCGGTGCCCAGTTCCTGCTTGGAGATGAGCCCATTACCGTCTCTGTCAAACACTTTGAAGGCCTCGCGGATTTCTGTGGGGAGAAGGAGCCTGGCTCACCAAGGCCCAGAGACCCTTTCCTTGTCCCTTCCAGGCCTGGGTCCTGCTCTCGGCTCCCTGCCCACTACATTGGGGTCTGCCTCTGACGGACGTGCACTCACCTGCCAGACATGCTTGAGCCCTCGCCTTTTCCTGAATTGCAAACCCAACCACGCATTAAAAAAACAACAGAAAAACCCCAAAACAACAGACAAACCCACACTTCTGATCTCGACATCTGAAGGTCCTGGGGCAGCCAGGTGGCACAGTCGATAGAACACTGGTCCTGGAGTCAGGAGGACCTGAGTTCAAATCTGGCCTCAGACCAAACACCTGACACTCACTAGCTGTGTGACCCTGGGCAACTCAACCCCCATTGCCTAAAAAAAAAACAACCCAAAACAAAAAAAAAACCCACAAAAAATATCTGAAGGTCCTGAGAAATCAAAGATCAGAGATTTAAAAACAGAAAGTCATCAAGTCCAATCTCATTTTCTAGAGGAGGTAACTGAGGCAGCGGAGAGGCAGTGACTTGGTCACACAGGTGGTAAGCATCAGAGTCAGGATTTGAACCCGCATCCTCTGGCTCCCCTTCCAGCACTCTTGCTGTTGCCCACCACGATTACCTCCCCACTGATGGAGACCCCGACCCCTCTGGCCTGAGAGCTGCCAAGCTGTGGCTGGCCTTATGACAAGCCTCTCTGGGCAGCTAGGCTGGTCTTCAGGCAGTAGAATCACAGAATCTAACTGGAAGGGGCTTCAGCAGCCACAACCATAACAATGGGCATTTATAGAGTGATTTAGGGGTTTTAAAGCCCTTTACTCATACCATCTCACTGATCCTCATCACAAACCTGTGAAGTTGGTGCTCCCTCCCATTTTACAGATGAAAAACTGAGGCTGAGAAAGTGACATACCCAAGGTCATACATCAGTTATGTGTCTGAGGCTGGATTTGAACTCAGATCTTCCTGACTCCAGGTCCAGTAGTCTTCCTACCTCGCTGCCTCATCTAGTTCAAATCGTACATGAAGGAGTTCTGTCTACGACTCGTCTCCCAAGGAGTCACCCAGCCTCTGCTGGGGAGCCCACCACCTCTCTGCTTTGGGACGTCTTTCACTGCTAGGAAGTGTTCTTCCTGACACTCAGCCTTCATTTGCCCTCACAGTAACTGCCATCCGTTCTTCCTGGTTCTACCCTTGGGGGCCAGCAGGACAAAGCTCATCCGCCCTCCCTGTGGCAGCCCTTCACAACCTTGAAGACAGATCTCATGTCCTCCCAGCTAAATATGCCCATTTCCCTCAGCTGACTCTTGTATGTCATGAACCTAAAGCCCTTCGCCATCTTGGTCACTCTCCACGTCCGTGGTGTCCAGAACCCACCCAGGACTCCAGATTAAGGCATAGGGGGGCTGAACCCAGTGGGACCATCACCGCTGTAACCCTAGAGGCTCTACCTCTCTGGATGCAGTCTAGATCACGTTAAATTTTATGCCAGCAACATCATTCTGCTGACTTTGGGGGAGCTTGCCATCTACTAAGGCCCCCAGACTCTTTTCAGAACAACTGCTATTGATCTAGGCCTCCCCCATCTTCTAAGGGTGGAAATCATTTTTTGAAACCAAGTGCAAGACTTTATATTTATTCCTACTGAACTTCATCTTCCTAGACTCAGCCCGATGATCCAACCTGGCAAGGTCCGTTTGGCTCCCAGTTGTCATCCAGAGTGTTAGTTTTCCCTCCTAGCTTAGTGTCACCTGCAAATTTGATGAACCTTCCATCTCTGCCTTTGTCCACGTCATTGATTAAGACGTCGAATATCGAGAGGCCAAGCACAGGTACTCCACTGCAGAGCTCCTGTCACATTGACCCTGCACCATTAACAACCACACTGGCCATGCAGCCAGGTAAGAGTTCTGGGACTGCAGTCAGGAGGACCTGAGTTCAAATCTACCCTCTGGCTATGCGATTCTGGGCAAGTCATCTCACCACTGTGCACCTCAGTTTCCTCAAGTGTAAAATTGAGATAAGAAGAACACCTCCTCCCAGGGCTGTTATGAGAATAAAATGAGACAATATCTTTAAAGTGCTTTGTGAAACTTAAAGTGTGATATAAATGCTCATTATTATTGTTATTAATTATTATATTAGTGTCTAATCTGCATCCCTCCATCTTCCCCGCAAGAATGAAATAAAAGGCACACAGTCAGTTAGCAGACAGACTCAAAGTGTCTGTAGCTTGATGGGGTCTGTTAGAAGCCGGGATCTGCAGGCAGAGGCTTTGATCAGATCACCAAGGTCACCCCCACACTGCCAAGAGGCATTGAAGGAAGGCACTGAGCAAAAAACTCCAACACCTGACGAGCAGGTTCCAAGCGGAACTTTTGAAATCTGTTCGATTGCAGTGACTCCGTCTGCTTTCATGCTCATCTCCTGCTGCTCGCTACCGAAGCCCTTCGCTCCATTCGCTCCAGCCGGGCTGACGGCCTCAGGGGCCCTGTAGATGCTCTGAATCTTCCCACCTCTGCCCCTTCGCTGCTCCCATTTCCCTTCCTGTGTCCTCTCCCCTCCTCTCTCCTCTCCCTCTCTAAATCCCACTTCTCCTCCGGGACTCAGCAATTCTGATCTCTCCAGCTCGAAAGACTCTGAATCACTGATTCCGGAATTGAAAGAGGCCTCAAGGATATGGAGAAGAACCCAGACCAGACACAAACAAGACTCCTCTTTAGAGGGGAAGACCTCTACGCACTATGGATAATTTAATTCACTCTTCTCATTTTACAGAGGAGGAAACTGAGGCACAGAGAGTAGAGGTGAGTTATCCAAGGTCAGATGTGTGGAAAGTGGTATGTGCTGGAACCCAGGACCTCTACCCTCACCATACTGCTGTGGTTGAGACCATCAGTTCAGACCCTTTCATTTCATAGACGAGGAAACTGGACCTATATGAAATACTTAGCCAGTCATGTGAGGAGTTAGTGGCAGAGCTAGGATTCAAACCCACGTCATGAGGAAAAGGAGACACAGGGAAGGGGCAAGAGACCTGGACTGAGGGAAGTCAGAGGACCCCAGAGTCCTGATGTGAGTGACCTTGGGAAAGCCTCTGGGCTTCAGTTTCCTCATCTGTAAAATTAGAGGTTCTACTTGATGACCTCCAAGCTCCCTTCCAGCTGGTCGTCCTCCCCCCCCCATAATGTGATTTCAGGCCAGAGCTCCCTCCACACAAGCAAATGAGTCAAACCTTCTGATCACATGATGGCAGCTAGTGTTTGTCTGAATCACTTCTCTGGGAACGCACTGTTTCCCCAGCAGAATTTCAGCTTCTAGAGGGCAGGGAATGTTTCACTTTTGTCTTTGAAATCTTTACTCACAGCACAGTGCCTGGCACATGGCAGGCATTCAATAAATCTGACTGACTGACCTCAGAGATCATCCAGTCCATACTCCCCATTATACAGATGGATAAACTGAGACCCAGAAGGAACCGTGGACCTCCACAACATTCTGGCCATGCCTATCTTAATGACACATTGCTTTTGGCCCTGATCTAGATGGATTCACTCAGTTACCAAGCTGATTTTCCCAGAACCCAGGTCTGACCGTTTCAATTCTCTACACAGTAAACTCTAGTGAATCTTTATTGCCTCCAAGATCAAATATAAAATTCAGGGACACTGGCCTCATTTCTGTGCTGTCACACAAAATATTCCATTTCCCAACTCCAGGCATTTGCCCTGGCTGTGCCCCCTGCCAGGACTGCTCTTCCTCCTCATCCCGCCTCCTGGCTTCCCTGGCTTCCTTCCAATCTCAGCCCAAATCCTACCTTCTGTAAGATGTCTTTCTTGACCCTTCTCCACTGTTGGGGGCATCTCTCTGAGATTACCTTCTCTCTCCCCCCATAGAGAACTCATTTGAACATAGTTGTTTGCATCTTGTCTCCCTGTTAGACTGTGAACTTTTGGAGGACTGGGAGTGCCTTTTGCCATTCATACAGTGCCTGGCACATAGTAGGAGCTTTTAAAAAATCTGACTAAACCACATCACACCTATCTGATTGGCCAACATGACAAAACAGGAAAATGATAAATGTTGGAGAAGATGTGGGAAAATTGGAACACTAATACATTGTTGGTGGAGTTGTGAAATGATCCAACCATTTTGGAGAACAATTTGGAACTATGCCCAAAGCGCTACAAAAATGTGCATACCCTTTGATCCAGCAATAGCACTTCTAGGGCTATATTCCAAAGAGATCAAACAAATGGGAAAAGGACCCACACGTACAAAAATATTCATAGCAGCTCTTTTTGTGGTGGCAAAGAATTGGAAATTGAGAGGATGCCCATTTGAGGGAAATGGCTGAGCAAGTTGTGGTATATGAATGTAATCGAATACTATTGTTCTATAAGAAATGATGAACAGGCTGACTTCAGGAAAATCTGGAAAGACTTATATGGTCTGATGCTGAGTGAAGTGAGCAGAACCAAGAGGACTTTGTACACAGTAACAGCCACGTTATGCAATGACTAAGATTGTTAAACTGAACCCTTCTCAGCATTACGAGGATCTAAGACATCTCCAGAGGCCTCGGGATGGAAAATGCTGCCCACATCCAAAGAAAGAACTATGGAAGTCGAATCGCTCTCACTTATTTTTACCTTCTGTTGAGTTTTGTTTCCTCTTTCTGATGGTTCCTCCTATTGGTTTTAATTTTTACTTACAACCTCTCTAATGTGAAAATATGTTTAATGGGTATGTAAATGTAAAGCCTATATCAGATTGTGTGCTGTCTTGGGGAGGGTGGGGGGGAGAGGAAGGGGAAGAAAAATTTTCAACTCAAAAGTGTATGGAAGTGATTGTTGATAAATCAAAATAAATTAATAAAATTTAAAAAAATAAAAAATCTGCCTAAGAGCATTCCTTATCTCCCTGAGATGGGTTCAAGAGACCACTAAGGTCCTTATAATTCTAAAGATTCTGTGAACTCCTGGGACCAG